CGTTTCGTGGACGAAGTTCCGTTCATCCGCAGCTGGAGGATAAGCTAGCGCACTTTGTGCGGGAAGTTCATGCGCGCTCGCTGCCAGTGACCGTGGATACCATTCGCAAGAAAGCCGTGGAACTCACTCGGGAAGCTGGGCTCATGAGAGAAGAGTTTCGTGCATCGAACTCTTGGGTGCGTCGATTCATGCGACGCAAAGGATTTTCTCTCCAGCGGCGCACATCCATCTGTCAAAAGTTGCCGGAGGAGTTCGAGGACAAGCTCATAACCTTTCAGCGTTTCGTAAACCGGCTTCGGGAGCAGAACGACTACATGATGGGGCAGATTGGCAACGCCGATGAGACCCCCGTGTGGTTTGACATGCCTTCGTCGACCATGATCATGCAGCACGGCGCCAAGGATGTGAAGCTGCTGTCCACTGGCAACGAGCACTCGCGCTCCACCGTCATGCTGGCATGCACGGCATATGGTAGAAAGCTTCCACCCTTCGTCATTTTCAAACGCAAGACAATGCGATGGTGCGACCATGCGACAGTTGCGATGGTGGTAGAGGGGAGCTCCGACGATCGGGATGGGGTGCGCCCAATTCGCAAATAAATGTGGTTCGGCAGTTTTGGGTTGTTTTCCTTTTTTTCTTTTTCGGTAACCTGAACTTGGGGAGTCGACCTATATTCCCACTCGACCTATAGTCCGGTTTACACGGTACTCGCCGAGCAGCTCTTCAATTCGCGGAAACCGACCCTGCTGTGGTCTACTGAAGCATTTGCGTGAATCTTTGCTGTCGACAATATTCTGCTTTTGTTTCCGCCAGTCTAGCATGCCGAACGACCGCAATGCAGCCCGATTTACATCCGTTTCGGCACACGTGATGACTTTTATTTTAAAAGCGGCATCGTGGTGCACTCGTTTAGTTTTTGGAGTCGGCCGTTCCACGCCGTCGATGCTAATGCACACCAAGATGACAAACTTCTCAGCACACGTACAAAGTGCCACACATGGGAAACACAAGGGCAGAAATGGCCGACGCGCCATGCAGCCCACGTAGGGGGCGGACATTTTGGAATGCCGATGGCAATAGAATGACCGTATTCATTTTTTTTTGTACTCGATTCTAACGCACATGCGATTTATGAACTCGCTTAACCGGAAAAAAGGTGCGCGTTAGATTCGAGTAATTACGGTATATTGATCTCGTGCTCTGATAAAAGATTGCATTTTTTTGTTGACTGCAAGGTGCAAACTGCAAGGCAAAAAAAGGTGCATAAAGGAAAGAAGTTCTTATACCATCTTTCCTAGATGTCACATATATCTTGACAGGGTCTGCTAGGATTTTAATGAACTTTTTATCAGTCAAAATGAGCTGCACCATGTTTTTTGAAGAAGCCAGAGTATAAACAAGGGAAGTTTTGAGAACTTTTGTTGAGCCAGTACAGTTCAAATGAACAAAAAGAACATTTAAAATCAATACACTGACTGGCGCACTGATATTGAGGTTCTGGCTTCAAGTGATATTCCGCTTTCTGTGCTGATAATCAACCTGTTCCACACCATAAACAAATGTAGACTTTTCCAAGAATATATTCCGTGTTTCAACTTATCCTTTGTCTTATTGTTACTTTAAATGCTAATTTTGGTTGCAACGTTGTGCCTTCAAAGTGCTCAAAGCTTGCCACGCCAAGTAAGGCTGCTGCATTCCTCCTAGGTGCAAAGGTGGTGCGCAGTAATGAGCTAATAAAGTTGACCGACGCATCGGGTTGCGAAGAGCAGCTGGCTCAGCCCATAGACACCAGCCTGCTTAGTCCTACCCAGACCCAACTGTGGAAGCTCACTTGTGAGGTAAGTACTTTCTTCCCAACCTTGCCTACTGTTGGCATTCGGATGCATATATAAACAAGTTGCTCTGCATATTTAAGTGAAGTGGCTTGGACATGCGAGCCTGGATAATGTACTATGTGACATTGCAAATTATTAAGCATGGAGTCAGCCGTAAAATTGTTTCATAATGTCATGAACACAAGGTAGTGCACGACATCCAACTTAAGGGGAGACACCGCTCTTAAAAAAGTTTTCCATTTCTTGATTAATTTTGATGAGCCTTGGCGTGTTTATATCAGCAAACTTTTTTCCAAACTAAGAGAGCTATAGAATCAGTATATCACAATAATCTGGAATGAGAACTGTATGCAGTTCAACAAAAATGGGTTTCAGCAAAAACGACTTTGAACAAAAGTTATGGTACATTGAACATCTGTGAGTGAGTCAATTTCAAGCTTTATTTCGCTGGCAAATGCACCTCATACCATAACTTTTATTGTAATTGGTTTAGAAAATCCATTTTTGTTGCACTGCAATCACTTTTGATTACTGATTAATGTGATATGCCGTTTATTTTGTAACTCTCTTAGCTAAGACAACAACTTGCTCTCCAAAAGGCTCATGAAATATTCTGCATTTTAAAAGCACTTTATACAAAAAAATCAACATCATCATCCCAAAGAAAACCTTGATGGAATGCGAAGCAGCATTACACACGGATGCTATCGGTGTGTTTGACTCGCGCCTTGTTGATGTTGTTGGTCTTCGGCTGCCGACGCTTGCGCTTGGCTACCCTGGCTCGCGCCTCGTCAGTGTTGCAGGCGCGACGTCACCATTCACGAATGCGATCGAGTCTGCTAACCCTCGCAATGCCAGCGACGGCTGGGTTACGCCAAATTGCTTCAGCGCATGTTTCGGTGTACGAAGGAGCTTCTCTTTTCAGCGTCCTCTCCATCACAGATAAAAGAGCCAAAGAGTGTTCACTTGGTGTGTGCTCAAGCGTTGCCAGCGGTGGGGAAGGTGAAGCGAGAGAGAGGTGACAGGCGGCGAACACATTGGCAGGCGAGGGAGAGTGATGTCACTGCACACTGCGAGTGATGGCGTGGCCTACTTGGCACCGCTCCAACACCTGCGGTGAGGAGAGCTCGGTGCGATGCGTTGGCACAGAAACACGGACGAACAGCGTTTCATAGGCTAGCCAAAGAGCTGCTTCGCAAGTAAAATATTAAATATATGAAGTTACGACACTAATATATGTGAACTCACGAAATTTCATCAAAATTGCTCAAGCAATAAAAATATTTTTCAAGTGCTATGTCCCCCCTTAATATGTAAAATATGGCCCATGTTACGTGGCTGTATGCTGTTGTGCCGCTGCCTTGCTGGTTGCTAATGGCATTCTGTGTAAAGCGACCTTACGAAGCGGCGTCAACACCGTAGTAGTACAGGGAATTCTGCAGGGCCATTGGCTCGCTTGCCAAAAACTTTTTCTACACACCCGCCCGACTGATTGCCCAGAAAGTGCTATTGCATTCTAAACTGTCGTCGCCTCCGCGTTGCTTGGGCCGTCAAAGCACACCAGACGATGAACCGAGCTTCTGGACTCAGTTTATGGAGACCTTTCCCACATTCCTTGGTGAATTCGCGTCTTCGCGCCTGCTCGGGAGCTAGCTAGGGATGAGTCAATCCTACACCTTGCCACATCGATGGGTCGATTCTGCACGTGGGATGCCATGTTGTCGCACTGTGCTTGTTGTGCCGTGCTGTCACATGGTCTATTCTATGCGTTTCTCCTTTTCCATGCGACAAACTGGGCATGCCTTTGCCCCTTTTCTAGGTTCACAGGGAGGCTGTGTTTGACTTTTCCTTTTCGAGGGTGAAGCAAAACGACGATGTCATTGGACTCAATTGTTTTCCCTTGCAAGGAATCTTGGGAAGACCCAGGATATAAAATGCGAGCGCCAAGACGCTTGAGCGTGCTTCACTCTTTTATGTCACACCAATATAAACACGTAAATACTGTATATAAACGTTCTTATTACCAGCTGCGGGTCCTCTATTCATCTTCTCCCAAGAAACGAATGGCTCTGGTCGGTACCATGCTACCCAAAGCTGCAACAGTAATGGATGTGATGGGATGTCGCGACACTTCATTGCTAACAGTGCATGGTGTTACCATGCAATTGGAGAGCCAACAAAAGCAATCTCCTCGCACAGCATGCTTGCCAAACGTCCCGACATAGCGTCTAATGCTGGGGCGTCATCACGTTTCAGTACCACAGACGCTGTGTGGCTTTGGAATCTGCTCTGGAGGCCACTGACGAAGGCTGGAACATATACCCTGCAGTGTTTGGCCGGTAAGAGAGCTCTCATTTCTTATTTACGTGTCATGCTTAGCCTCATGTATGGCCGTGACAAAAGTGGTCTTCGAGATCAGTTTCTGTTAAATAAAGCTACTGTGAAGTTGTGCACGTGGACACGGCCATTGTTTTTTTTTTTTTAACCATCAATCGAACGCTTTGCACAAACTCAATGGTGGTCCCTTATAACATACTCAAACTGCATTATAACAAAGTTGAATCTTACAAGAAAACAAGTTCATTATATCCAGAAATTTGTGATAAAGGTGTATTGCTAACACTGTCTATTGCAAGACTATTATTCATTTACTTCGTTATAACCAGTACACTCAGACCTCATGACAAAGTCACATTTGCCATAAAAATACTTTGTTACATACAGAAATTCATGATAGACAATTATTTGTAACAAATTATGGCAATGTTATTCATTTATGCCGTTGTAACCAATAATTTGTTATATTGGGGTTTGAGTTCATTCATGATAGACAATTATTTGTAACAAATTATGGCAATGTTATTCATTTATGCCGTTGTAACCAATAATTTGTTATATTGGGGTTTGAGTTCATTTTGGCATATCCGGTTTCGTTATCTCGAGGTTCGAGTGTAAAAGCTTTAACTTCATTCATGTGCGTCTTGTTTGTTTCAGGCGACCTCATGGCAAACAAGCCAGTCCGGGCTCCTACTTTTCCAAGGACTACGGCAGTGCACTGTCTCCACTGGAAAACCTGGGCAGCTGCTTCACAGGAGGCACGTGCACATCAACGCCCACATTGTCCCATCAGCACGGTCTGCCACGCATAAAGAATCGCTTCTTGTAAATAAACCACAGCCTGCCATTTTTTATTGGCTACAAAAGGAAGGAGGCAGAGAGCGATAAAAACAACAAAAAGAAATGCTACATCACATTTGGCAACTCCCTGCTACAAAGCAAGGGCTCCTTGGACGGAAAGCCACAGGCATCATTTACCACTACAACAGAATCACGTCTTTGCAAAAGCTGCCCAGTACAGACCGATCTCAAGAAACACTGAATGTATATAAGCAAAAAAATAAAATGGGCAATATCATCCACCAGAGTCTTATTTACGACAACCCTTACATGGTTGGGCATGCCTGGTGCCACGTGTCAGATCGTACTAGCTGGCGGGTGATGCCTTGTCCCAAATGAAATAAAAGAATAAACTCTCTAAATGAGCGCAATATGTAGAAAATGAGCTGATTGCATTGAGGCAGTGAAACACAAGTGCAGTCTTGACACCAGCTTGATGTTGACGAGTGTGTGTGCAACCATAGAGGAAGGAAAAATAATGTCACAGTGTAATCATGCCACAGTAGGTTTTCGGTTCAGCCACTGTTTCACTTCGCATGCAATATTCACAAGGATGCAATCAAAATATGACTAAGTGTGGTAGCCACATTTGCAGCACCGAAGAAAACTAGCTACATGTTTAGCAAGGAATATACAGATTCTACAATTATATCAGAATAAAACATACCTAAAGCAGCTGGCTAATGATCCAAGGAGGTAATTCATCAATAGAAACGTGATGGGAACCAAGCACAATTTTCATTCAGAGAATTCCCTGGACAAAGCTCGAGACACCAAAGTTGTGTATTGAGCTCTCATTCAGATACATGGGACGGCTTCGTGGAGTGCTGACATTGTAAAGTCATGTAACACACGATGCTCCCTTTTGCTTTCCTTCCTCCATGGTGCACAGTGCAGTGTTCAACATACAATGCTTGAAGCATAGTTTGAGTTTGGCCACCATTCCAAGCCTCAAATACTTCCCGATAAAAAAAAAAAAAAGCAACGATGGCTAGCATTTGCATGTTCGTACATAACAGCAATACTGGACTTTACCACAGAAACTGAACACAGGCACAAAACTTCAGCTGCACACAAACCACAATCGGATAAAATGATTCAACACTATCACTACACACCTGTCCTTTGAGCTTTCACGTGCCATTATGTCAAAGCATTTCAAAGCATGTCAAAAGCAATTCAAAGCATTCTTTATCACACACTATTCCCAAAGCTGCCATTGGTGCTCATAACACAAGGGACTGTATAGCAGCACAATAAGTCATACACCTTCGCTAGCACCATAAGAAATGCAGATATAATGACTAATAAAACTAATTGCACATTGCTTGTGGCTTCTGAAAACCGGGATGCCTAACACATAAAATTGGTCAATTTTATCTTTCAGAAGCATACGCTCCATCTACAGATAGCAGATAATACAAGGCCAAAGTTACAGGCTTGTGCAATGCAATGATTGCTCCGTTTTCTGGGAATACAGTTGAAACCCGCAATAACGAAATCGACGGGGAAAGCGAAAAAATTCGCTCTTGCAGGAATTTCATTGGCGCGAGAATGCGGCAGAAAAAATAAGGAATTGACTAAAACACATTTTATTGGCAGAAGTCAGTAAGCTTACTTTCCCGAGCCTTTCCCTGCAGCAAATTATAGCTGTTGACTCTCATTATAAAAAGTAATCCACTGGCACGTCGTCATTGTGCTCACCAAAAACACGAGTGAATTGTGTCCAGGGCATCCAGCAACAGGTACCCAGGTGTCCAGCAACGGGTACACAATGCCGACGAAGCCAACAAACAAAACTCCATGTGGATGTGGATTTGGTTGCGTAGTCTGTGATTATGATTTAGCATAACAAGCATGTGTTTCTGTGTCAGGCCATTAAAATATTAACACGTGCCCACTGCAAAGTCACCTCAGATTATTGTGGTTTGCTTTAAGAAATTGTAGTTGGTGATGCTAATTAAATGCAATTTTGGTTGGGACACTGTGCAGTCACCTGTACTGACAAGGAAACCATCATCATCATTCTTGCCAGTCGTTTTTTTTTTTAACATTGAGGGTGGCTACGCACTTTGAGTGTACCACGAATGCAGTTGAGTAGTTTTTGAATGTAGTTAATGTTACAGGAATGGATTATTTGTGCACTCTTGTTTCAAAGATTCCGTTAATGAGGGACAGTGGTAAAAATAATATTTCATAGTCGCGAGTTATGAAATGCATTGACTCACCGGTGCTCTGAAAATATTTCGTTGCAGTGAGAATTTCATTCCCTTGGGATTTCGTAGTCGCGGGTTTCAACTGTACTCGCGCACTGCATGAATGCAAGTTTTCTCTGCCACTCTTGAGTACTGTGTATGCTGTGCACTTGTTGCCTCCTGATTAAGATACATTGTAGACCTTGGTTTTCTACTGCCAAAGCAAGAACAGCCGTCAAAGCTGCTTGGAATCAATACAAGTTTGCTGATGGTGCAGAGCTTAAAAACTCTCGCATACGTTGTCAAGTTATTGACTGCCTTGGCAAAATCGTGGATATAAACATTCCTGCATCACTAAAAAGAGCAGACTTGCAAGAGAGTTGTGCTTTAGGCATATCTGCAATTATCTGAGTACTTTTCAAAAGGTTAAATATTGGACATATCTTGGTGAAATATGTGCAAAATTACTTGGGGTGACGCAACATTACGGGCTCTTTGAAACTGGTGTTTTCAAAAGGGCAGTTTATGCCTCCAATAAAAATGCGAGATGTTAAAAAAAAAGAAGAAAAATAAACACTACGTCAGACACCACAACACCTTTTGTTTTTTCTAATGTAATCTACAAAATGGGGTCATCACCATAAATTAAAACACAGAAAAGAAATGCCATAGCATGAAAATTTAGACCATGCTTTACTGTCAAGGCTTTCAGAAGAGTGTTACTGGAATCTTTTCCAGAAAAACACCTTATCTGAGTGAATAATCTTGAATCTGATACAACTTGGCATGAAACACTGCACCAGCAAGTGTCAGGATTAATCATTTTTTTAAATGTGCTTATGAGCTATCTTATCATATGCAGCCTTACAAGAGCAATTTTCGCTCCTTATCATGACATCAAAATGGTATTTTGAGATGAACATCATTACCAAATAAAAATATACGTGACTCCTGACCTTAATACTTCACGAATGCCACTCTCGTATGTGTTAGATGCTTGTGGTATATTATGAGAGCAGCTTGGGCTTGTCATTGCTTAATGACAGATTAATAACACAAGGAGGGGACAAAGGACGAAATAGAACTGCTTGGTATCGTCTTGCCGCTCCTCTGTCTGTGGCCCCGCCTGTGGTAGAGTTTCGACAACGTAGAAATTGCGTTTATGAGTGCTCCTTGAAAGTGTACCAGAATCTTGGTACATGAGGCTTTGCGGACCCCTTCCACTCGAAAGTGGCCACCAAGGCTGGAAAACACTACCCATAATCCCATGTCAAGAGATGGAATGCAATGGCTCTCCTGGAGCCATCCGTTGTGACAGAAGACAAGCAGAAACACTCAGAAGCGGTCCTTGGATCCCAGCGTGGTCATCTCAGTGTCCTGTAGGTCTTGAAGCAGCTGCAAGTCGAGCAGCTTCTGCTGGTCGCGCAGGTGCGCGTAATTTGCTGCAAGGCACATGAGGTGTTGCACCAGCCCCAGCAGCACCAACAGCGCAGCTGCAGCTCCAAGCCACAGAAGCAGGCTTGAAGGTTCCACCCAGTCTTTGCAGAACTCTTTGCGCTGTGCCCCACACAGCAGGAGCAATGGCTCGCCCGTGTGTCGCAGCGGCGTCGTCTCCTGGCTTATCAGGAACTCTGCAAATGTTTAGGAGATTGACTGATTGGCCGGTCGTATTGGACAGCATGCGCGATCGAGGAATGGCAGCGAAAAACCAACATACCACGCAGAGAAGAAGCACCATGCCCTTCAATCACGCCACTACGTGCTATACGCTACTCCTCGTTTCCCGACTCGTGGGAAAGGATACTCGTTGCTTGCGAGAGAAACAATCCTCAATGGAAAAGAGACGAAAAGTAGCCAGAAAAACGGACCGGAGTGGGAGACAGGCTCGCTTGTGCCAGCGGTTGCGCAGGCTACGAAGGACCCGCGAGACGCCGATGAATGACCAAAGAAGTAAGCCTTACCCTTCGTTTTCTACATAGATCAGACTATCCCTCTAAGCATGATTTTGCATTATTGACAGCTCATCGTTTAATTGTTGCTTCCTGACATAGCATGTTGCCTTATCCGCATGAACCCATCATAGCTGCAATTATCTGTGCTGCAGGAGGGGGACACTAACATGTGCACTGCATGGTACAACTGCGTGCAGCTGGAACCAGCCAGGCCGAGAGTGAACATCCTTTTGATCTATGTGAGTGTAGCCAAACTGTGAACGGTTTTTTACACTACTACTTAAAGGAAAATCTACAACTCTTTAAAGGTCAGAGCCGGCATTTTATTTATAGAGGGGTGTTTATATTTCAGCTTGGGTGTGTGAATGCGTGTTTACACAACATGCATACACACAATGGGTGGGTGGGTTAAGAAGTTTATTTGTCCCCGGCAAGATGCATGTTAGCGTGCAGCGGGTAACTACCATGTCAGGACTGTCGGGCCAAGCTTATCCGCTGCTCCGTGGGCCTGCTGAACGGCCCAAAGTTAATCGGAGAGGAGGGAATGAAAAAAAAAGCTTAGAGGGGGAGAGGTATACTACACATTTATCAGTTTCGATAAGTGCTGGCGTTTAATGTCTTGCACAGAATTCTTGAACATCATCTTTCTCTACAAAATCTCAGCCATCAGACACTACTCGCACATTATACATCAGGGGCGACACAATTAGGCTAAAAGACGGGATTCTTATAAATCAACCCCAATATCTTTTTTCCGAATCATTGTTGTAGTGCTAGTCAGCTTATTCAGTGAGAGAATAAACGCAAGCAACGCACCGAACTGCCTCAAGTCCAGGCACTGCTGTTCCTGCTTCAGCTGATTGCACAGTGCCCCAGCAAGAGCGCAGAGGAGAGCCGAAATGGCCATGAACAGGGCCAGCACAAGCCATGCCAGCAGAGCCAGGTACGACAGGGCCAGCAGCAGTGCACACGACAGCCGGCCTCCGACACGAGCCCGGTTTCCCAGGCGCTCACGCGTAGGCCCCGTTGTCAGGCAGCCCACCAGCAGCAGGCACAGCTCTAGAAGACCCATCAGCGCTGCTGCCACCAGAGCAGCTGCGCGCAGCTCAGAGGGCCTGTGGTGGTAAGTGAAGCAGGTGAGTACAGCCCACATGACAACAAAAAACCATGCCACCACACGCCATCAAGACCTATTGCCGCAAGCTCTGTCCTGGAATATTAGATGTGAAAACTATACTGGCCATCAAGTGAGAGCTGGAAGGGAGGTTGCCTGAGGATTTTTTTCGCATCTAGGATTGATTATCGAAAGTTAGGTGGCCTGCCCCTGCCTGCACAGTTTTATGGAACATGGGCTCCACAGCGAATTAGAATTTCTGCTGTATTAGTGCGCGGTGCTTCTGACCTAGAGGTTAGCTAAACAGGTCAAAGAACTAGGTACTACAGGTTGGATCGTTAACATCATGCTTATGCCAGCCACTGGAGAATTTAGAGACACATCTAGGGATGTGACTGGAGTCTTAGCCACGGATCAGAGCATGCGGAGGATAGAGCAGAGGCTTTATAAGTGACTTTCAAATGACGCTGCAGTGTGCAGTGAGGACAGGATGGCGTTCATGTTGTGAAATTCGACAATTAAGGAGCAGCGAGGCATTATTAGATTTCCTACAGCTGAAGATGCCAAATCGGCCACAATTAATCACCTGTGGTTTCCATGCGTTGGGTGCCATCAAAGAAAACATCCGAAAAGGAAGTGCTTCAACACTGACAACTAACTCAATGACATTGTGAAGGACTGGGTCTCGTCACGGCCACAGGAATTCAGGGAACAAGTGAATCCTTCAGCCAGTTCATCAATGGAATCATTGCGACAAAGCACACAGCGTACACATTGAATGAAATCTTCATTTGTTCCAACAGTGTCGCTTCCTGCTTTTTCATTTGAACATCCCATATATTACGTTTGCTATCAGTTTTCCCGATATTTAGAAGATAAGGGGCATTTTTTAAAACTCATGTAATATACAGTATTACCAGATACTAATGCTGTCTTGAATACTATAAGCAGGCACCAAGCTGAAAGTGTCAAACTGCTCGGGCAACTCACCCATACGGAGAGCGGCGCTCAAAGACAACCTCCAGCATTCGTATTGTGGAGTCTACTGCGCGCAGCACAGCGCCGAGAAATATCACCACCCCCGCAACGCACATGACAGTGGCCACCAGGGTGGCAAAGGGCACTCGGGCAAGACAGCGCAGACATGACCGCCGGCAACCTACACAGCAAATTTTGAAATGCACCGTCATTACCATCATAAACATGCAAGAACAAACTCAAACAAGCCACTTGAAATGTCATAAAATGTGACAATCATTTCATCGACACAGTACTGGCACAGCACTAAGTAGTCTACAACAGGCAGATATAAAAATCACGGCAAGGAATGGGGGTTAATATTATTTCCATTTAAGGATCAGAGTAAGCGTGGCCACCATTTGTGGGCACTTTGAGTTGCCCCAAGCACACAGAATACTGACAATTGATGCACCAGCAGTTAGCCTATATCATACAGATTTCTCTACCTTTGTGCAATGGGAAAAACATTGTTCCACCACAAGACAGAGCACCACTCACAACTGACATGATTTATGCACCACCATGAGTGCGCTCAGGTGACAAGTTGTGGTAGTTGTATGCGTGTCGTGCATCACGCATGTTCTACAGGTATCTGGTTGGTATAGAGGGTGAATAGACGTAATAAATCATGTCAGTTTAAGGTAGCACTTCGTCCCGCCTTCTTTCTTGCGGTGCACTTTTACACTAAAAAAGTATATCAGTGGTGTGTAACTACTTTCTGGAAATGTCAAAGAACACTTTTAATGCACATTATTTGGCTGTGTGATGCTGCTTTTGGTGGCTATATACCAAACATGATATAATTACTCTTCTGAAATGTCAAAGAACACTTTTAATGCACATTATTTGGCTGTGTGATGCTGCTTTTAGTGGCTATATACCAAACATGATATAATTACTCTTCTGAAATGTCAAAGGACACTTTTAATGCACGTTATTTAGCCGTTTCATGAGCCGGTAGTTTTCAATAACTTTGATATCACTTTGCTATATACCCAATGTGACATATAACTTTTGTGTAGTGTCGTAAAACACTTTTAATGAACATTATATCATTGTTTCATGCTGCTCTTAGTTTTCAATAGTAATACCACTTGGCTATATTTTTTTATGTGTTGAAATTACTTTTTTGAAATGTTGAAGGACACTTTTAATGCACATGATTTAGCTGAACGCTCCAGTATTCCTTTGGTTTCGCAAGGCGGGCATGGGTTATAATCGTCTTTTTAAAGTGGTGTTTTATGGATGTGCTATCGATGATGATCATCGATAGCACATTGATAAAAGGACGTTGATAGTACACAGATGAATATTGTTTTTCGACATATCAGAGGGCTAGCGGTGAGTGCATACGTAACTTGTAATTACCGAAACCCCTTTATTTGCCACATCGCTTTACGAATGCGCTGCACGTTCCTAAACCAAAATGAAAGCATTACCTGCGTTGCCTTTTTCTTTACAATGATACAGAAAAACACGCCGAGAAGCGTTCAAACGGGTCTTTAGCCCACACACATGCGCATGCGTCGTCATCGATCATTTCAAAAGCCTTCTGGCCGCGGTTGAAAAGTATGAACGAAGCCAACGGAGAAGACATCGGCAGGGTTCTTGGCGCTTTTACCCTCGTACCAAAGTTTCCTTCGACTGAAATGGGCCGCGCGCAGGATCGCCAGCCGTGCGGTTTTGTCTTTCATTTCTGCTATGCGCGCGAAGAATCATATTTGGCCGATGACGTAAACGCGAGTTGCAACTCGAAGGGGAAACAAAGCGGCACTGGACGAATGGGCCAATCAATCGAAGCGCCATCAAAGCTGCCCGCCAATGACCCTTCGCGGTTTAAGTTCAAACCCGTTAAGCAAGTCCCAGCGAGTCCCGTTGACAAACACTGTAATCTTTCAAAACGACCAGTCACGTTTAGATCGCTAACTGCCTTCAGAAAAAAGCCCTTTCACGGCGGCAACTTGAATCGAGCTGAGAAAGGGTTCCCGTTCGGGGCGCGTAGGCCTACACGGTGTCAACAAAACAAGCTCACCGATCGCCGTACAGGAGCAACACTTCTTGTCCCTCGATATGCTCGAGTACGAGTAACTCTTCCTGCTGTATGTCATCGTCGATTCACGTTTCCGTCACGGTTAGGCAACACCCGCGGGCATGCGAATAAACTTCGGAGCATGCAGCACCACCACAGCACGCGCTTGGTTTCACAGGCCACTTGGCACGCCACCTCCTCACCACCACTCCCCGAGCCCATGCGTCCACGTACACGCCCCACTGCGCGCCCCACAGGAATCCCCCCCTGCACCCCCGGGACAAGGGCGCGCATGACGTAGCGGATGCGGGCGCGTTGCAGCTGACCAGCAGCCGTTAAATCGGCGCGTTCCGTCACAGTTCGAAATTGACGCGCGACGCACTAGCAAGTTTCCATAATCGTTATTTCGGACGCAGCAACGCGGGGTAAACAGCGCGTTATATGCACCAAACTTACCCATTTCGAACCAACGCCGCTTCCCACTCACAGATACGGTTCTACCTGGACGGCGTCGACACTAAGCATCACGCGTTATCTCTGATCACTCGGACTCGAACAGTTTATTTTCCTCGTTATCAGTGCAGCCTCGGCAACGCCAAGGAGGGGCAACCTATAAGGCATACGCGCTCAAGTCCACGGACGAACAACCACAAAACGGCGAAACCTTGACTCTCTGGAACGCTGCCTGTAAATACGGCGAGCAGCGGGCTTGTATACAGCAGCAGGCGTCATAGGAACTGGTTCATATCACAGACACTTTGCAACAATGTTCCGAAGTGCACTTCGGCAAGGCGCAGACTGGATGGCCCGAAACACCTGTTCAGGACGTTGCCACAAACACACCCCAGCGGCCTGGCGGAAAACAAACAAAACAATGCGGAAAAACAGACGACGGAAGTGGGTCGCCTGCGCATTACCGTCGCCAGAGGGACGTCGATCGCGTTCGTCTGCAACTCGTGACGGCAGCTTGTGAAGATTCTGAACACGCTACCCGCAAATTTTATTCGTTTCCGAAGTACGCTATAGGCGCCGTAACTGGAAACCACCAGGATTTGCGCTTGAGCACGCAAGAATGAGCATAACAGCACATCGTATCACAGCTGCCGTAAGTACTTCGCTGTTGATTTACGTACCGTACGAGCAAGTAAACCGGACACAGTTGAGTGCAGGGTACATACAAGTTTATGCATAAAGTGTATCAGACAGCAGTGAAATGTCAGATATTTACTGTTGTTGTATCAGACTTATTGTGGCTAGTTAAATAGGTATCTGAGGTTTTCTTGGTATGGTCATGTTTCTGAATTTAGTCAAGACACCCAGAGAGAAAGATGAACATTAGGTACAGTGTGCCATTTCTGGCGACCAAATACCAGGGAGAAAGAAGAACATAGGTACAGTGTGCTATTTCTGGCGAACAAATCCACACTCAATTCCATTTACATACTTTTTAATAACGAGCAGCACTATATTTCTCAACAAATATTCTATGTAAAAATAAATCCATTTAGTCTTGGTCTATTTTTGACATCGTAGTGCAGGCCATTTGGCCCAAGCAGGAGAGGCAAGGTACAACACACATGTACAAGGCACAATTAATCGTCAACAAAGTTGGGCAAACGAGCAAACAATTCTAAATAGAAAAGGATTAGGGAATGGTGAAGATGTCATTCTGTATTGATTCAACAGCTTAAATATGTGGTGCAAAAATGTTTCCTGCCCAAAATCAAATGTAGTGGTGGTGCAGGCCCAAGGTGAATCGTACTTCCAGTTTTGGCTGCAATTGTTATACCAAATAGTAAATTACTTGCGTAACTTCTCAGGCTATAACAAAAATACCAACTGCCAACAGGACAGGTTCAACCAGTCTTGCACTATGCAAAATCTTGGAACTAGTAACTCGGAAACTAAGAAACAACCTTTATTGCTCAGCGATCTTGTGAACTTGATGCATATGCTTTAACACAACATATGCTTGCAACACAACCGCCCCTTCTATCATTGTTTTAGGAGTCACACAAACACCAAAGTTCTACCGTTCCACATATACACCAAAGTTCCACCATTTTTATTTTCATGCAAATATGCAAATTCATCATTCTGTACAACTCTAGCAGCACAAGGCATTTTCTGCAGACTTTTGCCCTCAGTTCTTCGGTGTATGCCTATATGCGGCAGCTTGTACATACCTCAGAAATACAAAAAACCGTCCCCACTGGCAAAGGTGAGAGTAAGGGTTACATTTCAGCTGAATTACATACATGGCAACCATTCTTATCCAATAGTGCACAAAAAAATGTAATCTGAGAAATCAAGCCAGACACAGTGTCTTGAATGTTACTTTACCCAGTTAATTCATGGTGAAACAAGGAGAGGTCTAAAACTTCTTACATCAATATTTCTGTAAAGGAGCACTGATATCAAATATACTCATGTCAATATTTTTGAATCAACGAAACAGCTATCGACCCCCTAGTAGCGATTCGCCACCTAAAACGGAAATGAACTATCAATTTTATGGATTTGTATTGCTGGTATCTAGCACCATTCAAAACTGCCGACAATCCCACTATTTTTAGCGCTGCAAGCGCTACCAGTTTTCGCAGTTACCTGCAGATTGCGCCACAGTTCATCTGCTAGGTGCACATACAGTCATGCCTTGTCACCTGCATTGTCATAGCTGCCATACAAAATGTTGACTAGGGTCGCTGCGATTCGCGACATTGCAAATAATTTTCGCTTTGATCAGTCCTTAAAACAGCGATTCCAGAATAGATGCCGTTCTAAGCAGCAATGAGGAGGTGCCCAAGGATGCATGCTTCGGCCATGCTCGTGTGTGTGTTTCAATTAGCTATATTGGGAAGTTTTGGCCTGCGCAGCATTCAGGCATACTCTGTCAATGGAATGTCGGTAGAGGGAAGGCCCACCAGCGCAGAAATAGAATACGTTCTCTGCTTGCCAGGTTTTACTTTGCACCTCCAGATGGCCCCACCTATCCGGCCTCCCACAGGTGTGGTGAAAAAACTCGGTATTATGTGGACGCAAGGAAGTTTACGAACTAAAATTCATTATTAATTATACCGGCATGTCACTTGTTAGCGATGATAACCCTCTATGCACTACTCCACCTTAATATCTTGTGGTCGTGTTGGCGTGTAACATACACATAATGAAAAGACACCACTGCACTTCTTTTGCGCTTCTGACCAGATGAGTGCAACTCAAGGGTTCCGCAGACATGTCAAGTGAGGAGCACACGTTGAATCATGATCTTTTCTTTTGCTGTTTTTTTATAGGTGATTTGCATATTTTAACTTCACTTTATTCAAAGCAGTGCGACGAAGATCATACATGAAGTGTGAGTGCATTAGCAGGCTTCAGCGCCAGTCGACGCCACGGTAAGAACACTCGGATCGTACGAGTCATCGCTGCTAGCTTATTTTTCAGGATGGTATGTGTGAAGTGCATTGCACCGAACACTTAGCACTAGTGCCAATGCCGTAAGACACTCCATTTCCCGTTAAAATTTTGCCCGCTATTGACGACGGACGCAATTCAAGTTTGACCAAGAGGGCCTGCACATACTGAGCATCAGAATGAAGGGCACATCTTGATTTTGAAATTTGATGTCAGTGCTCCTTTAAATCTGGGTGTGGGTAATGCATAAACTTTGCCATGAGAAGTGGCTTGATGACAGTGCAAATAGCAAATCAGGCTTATGAAGCATGAAAATAGTACTCTATGGCAGATTCAAGAGTAAAGGCGTTTGAATTGTGTGTCAGTGGTTCTTGTTTCCTGCATGATGATTCGTGTGCACTGCTGCTGAAGAACACTTATGGTTGTGGGCACGCAGTTCGCAAAATTACTTTTTTAATTTAACACAATAGAATATTTGAAAGCACGAGGTCATCTACAAACCTGAAAGATTCGAAGTTTTATTCTTGCTGCAGCATTCTTTCAATGAAAGCGAAATGCTAGAGGCTCCTGCACCGTTCGCGATGTCAGTGCACGTTAAAGAAACCAAGATGGTTGAAAAGAAATCTAATAGCGAAACATTAAATCACATATGAAAATATTTATACAAGCCTACTATACACGCAATAATAAAAACACACAATCATGAATACCCGCACATTCGCTCATGTACGAAAAAGGAATAACATTACGAAACTTCGAAAAAATGATTTACACAAAAAATTACGATTGGCAAAGATCATCATATCACAGCAATGCATATAACTGTCTTGAGGCACTTCAACATGATGGTACCATCGTCTCAGCAGCCAGACCATAACAAGTCTTGTGTGTTGAGCAGTAGTCAATTAGGGACTTCCAATTCGTATCCTAGAAAAAAGAAGGAAAAGATTGCATTTTAATATGCACTCTATAATATGGGATCATCATTGTCGAGCACAACCTAATGAAACACACAAACAATGAACCTCAGGATAATTAGGCAACATTCGTTGTAATCTTAATGTAGTAGTTAAAGTAATTACGATATGAATTCAAAAAAGCAAAGTGGGAGAAAAGACGACTTGCCGCCAGTAGGGAGCGTATCTATGACGATGAAAGCTATTTCGTACAGTGCAGTCTCCTTAGACAATAAAGTGAAGCCTTGATGTTTTTTTTTTTTTTTTGAGGAAAGTTAATCTGTACACGTGTCACAGAAGCCGTCACAAATAGTAGTGGCACAGCTGTTTGGCAGATCTATACGCGAAGCATTGGAAAATATATAATGATGTGATCTAATATATGCAGTAACTCCATTACAAAAGAAATAGAGGTGAGGGCAGCTTAGAAAATAATGCACAGTCATTGTGCTAGACGGACGTGCTCGACGACACTGAATAAAAGGCCTCAAAGGCCCCTAAACTGTAATTTCTAAAATTAAAGAATGTGCACTAAGGCATGCACACACACTGGCAATTCCACCACCTCCAAGTCACTATAGCAGGAAATCCTACATTACAACAAAAGCGGAGTTCCAAAGGTGCCACTCTGCAAGGCCACCCTACCAGTGTGAGGATGTCAGGGTTGCCCACAACCACAAGCATGGCACTGGCTCGGCTGATGGCCACGTTGAAGCGCCTGGCACAGAAGATGAAGCCCAGGTTTTGGCTGCTGCTGCTGCCATCCGCTGATGGAACAAGAGCCTCACTCCCTCGGACCTGATGAGGGGAAGAATAAAATTGAACAGAAGCAACATATGATAGTAACCAATAAAACAGAATAACTTTAGAAAGCTTATTGCTTGAATAGAAGAACCACGCACTTGAAGACACATTTATAACATCGAGATTATCTTGGTAGCATTTGTCAATTCATTGATCCATGCTGTAGAGAAAAGGGATCACACATCCTCAGTAAAAGCATAGATTGAGAGCGTCACTGCTGCAGCTAAACTCTACAAATGTGTGGGGGTGCTGACACCCCTGTACAGTTGTTTGCGCCGTGTGGCGCACGTGTCTCGCGCAGAAGCCGCATTTCGGGTTACACCTAGCGGGCGGTAGGTGGCATTGTGCTCGTGAGCATTTATTTTATAAGGGAGGTGGGCCGGTTGGCATTGGGCTGCCATGGAAGGGTTGCAGTTGAGGCCATCCAGGGGGACATGGGTTGGTCTACGTATGGGGTGCGGGAAGCCACGAGCAAGATCATTTATGAAGGGCGCCTACGCTTCATGAACGATCAGCGGTGGGCCCGTCGCATGTTCCGCTACCTGCACTTCGTGGGACTATGGACACAATGGTCGAACAGAGTCTACTCTCTGCGACGCAAGTACGACATGTTGGATCTCTCAACAATCGAGACCACGGAGCACAAGTTTTCCGCAGCAGTCCGGAAACGGATACGCGAAGTGGAGAATGCGCAATGGGAAATCTCGATGCAGCAGAATAGTACACTACAGCTGTATCGTACATACAAAGAGGCCATTGCCCCGATATCTGTCTATGACAACAGTGGTGGAAGTGGGCTACTGTTCAAAGTGCACGCAGGAGCGCTTCGCACGCACACATACCACAGCCACTTCGACCCAAACATCCACTCGACCCTATGCAGAGTGTGCGGAGCGGAACAGGAGACAGTTGAGCACTTGGTGCTAAAATGCCAAAAACTCTCACCCTGCCCGCCAGAGGCCACTACACTACCTCAGGCGCTGGCCTTGGCGGCCAGGAATGCAAAAGCAGTTTCCACCACAAAGACAAGGCTCCAACAGTGGTGGAAGTGGTGCCAAAAGTGAACTCCTCTTAGTGATTCAGATTTTTTTCCCCTTTTCTTCATATACCTAAGCTGGAACACAACATATATGTGTTCACCCGTTATAAAGGGCAAAGCCACAAATCATCATTAATGATGATGATGATCATCATCATTATTGCCACCACCATCATCATGGTTAGAAATAGCGCTGGCGGCGACGCCTGGCGGGAAGCCTTAGTGGCGGCGTGCAAGAAATAAGCTGGTCTCTCTTCGGCTGGTGGCGGTTGGTGCGAACGGTTGTCTCTAGCATGGGTCTGCCGTAGACGACACCGTGGTCTGTGTGCGGTGGGCCCTTGTGGTAAGTCAAACGCTGGCGATGCCGCCTTGGGTGTGTTATTGTGTTTGTTATGTTGTTGAGTGCTGTGTAATTTTGTGCGAGGTTGTTTAGCGAGTGGATCACAATTAATGTTATCAATAATACAGCTGACGATATCGCCGTTCAAAAGTAGTTAAATAAATGCATTTCTTGTTTGGTTTGGACTGACCGAGTCTGCTGTGTCCGTCCACTCCAAGAGCGCGGTGGTGCTGTCTCTCACAACGAGACCCCAGACTGGCCACCCAACGTGAAGCTCTTGGAGCATCAGATGACAGTTTTCGCGATTCGGTACAAGCTTTTGTTAGAGCCGGGGCAGAGTAGGCCTAGGGGAACTTCTTTGCTAGCGTCGGCGGTGGGCTTTGTTGAGAGCGAGGAGATTGGTTTTTGCGACGTGTTTAAACTTGTCAGTATGTTGAGTTTTCATTTTTTTCTGCTCGCAAGTGTTTTTTTTATTATGTTGTTGTTGTTGTTGTTGGTTTGCAAGAATGTTGAGTTGGGACGAGAGCCATGCGGTCTCCATCCTGGGGTGAGCAAAGCTTATAGCATGTAGATTGTAGACCAGGCTCGAAGCGAGTCAGCACGGACGCCTCGTGGGTTTTCCGATTTTCTGTAAATAGCTTCTTCTATCTCTTTCGGCTCAAGGAGCCGGGCATCGTTGCTGTCTGGTATTGTGGCTCGATGCCCAAGCGTCGTGACACCGTCCGGGACGGTGGGCGCCGATCGGTAAGCTGCTGTGTGCGGTGAGCGATAGGGCCACCTTACAGAGTGGATGGCTCTTTGCGGCTGCCTCTTCTGTGCCTAGGCTGGGTGCTGGTTGAATGCCGGTTGCTGTCAAGTGACTCGTTAGCCCTAAGGCTTTGCACAGCCGCATGTCGCACGTGGCACAACTAGGTAGATTGTGGCATCAAGGTGTTGCACTCTGCTTCCCTCACTTTTTATCTTGTGATGCATAAATTAGGAAAAGTGACTTTTGTTTTATTTTTGAGCTGGGCGTCTTGGCCGCCGCTGGTGTATTAGCTAGCAGTACTGACCATCGTACCATGTGGGCGAAAAGCCCGAAGTTCCCTTCCCTAGGCCCTGCTCCATTGTTTCTGTCAAGTGTTTTGGAATGTACGCAGCGGGAATGGAGTGACCCGCGGCTGGCTGTCTTCTACACATCGTCAGCGCCGCTGGCCAGGAATACGGTCGTGAGGTTGGGGGATGAAGATGCCTGGAACTTGCGCAACTGCTTGCAGTATGGCGCCCTCGTGAGTACTGGTCACAACCGGAAGACGTGTCGGCGCGAGTGACGGTTCATCGCGGCAAACTTGCTGTTGAGGGACCGGTACTGAGATGAAGTCGTCGAGTCGGACAGTGCAGCAGTGTCAACCCGCGGCGGTGTCGTCGTGCACGGACATTACGGTATGTAGGGACATGGGTTGTCATGTTAGAGCTTGTGTAGTGGATTTCTTCTCTTTTCGGATTTGAATTAAAGTTGAGAAAATTTGGGGGCGATGACACGCCCTGTAAAGTTGTTTGCGCCTCGTGGGGTACGTGTCTTGCGCACAAGCCGCATTCAGGAGTCGCAACTATCGCACGGTAGGTGGCATTGTGTTCGCGAGCGTAGATCACCGCTATCATCATCATGGCTGTTAGAGCGGTAGCGCCGGCGGTGACACCTGGCAGCAGGCAAGCCTTGGTGGCGGCAGAGACAGAGGAGTGAGTTTCTTTCTCTAGTGGCGTTAAGCGCGAACGGTTGTCTCTCGCGGGGAGGCCCCGGTGCGCTGCACCGCGGGCCGTTTGCCGAGGGCCCTTGTGGTGAGTCAAGCGCTGGAGACGCCGCCTTGGGTGTGTTATTGTGTTTGTCATGTTTTGGTGTGTATGGCAATATTGTGTAAGGACGTTTTAGCGTGTTGATCACGATTGATGTTATAACAATTTGGCGGACGATATTGTCAATTAAAAAGCAGTTAAATAAATGTCTGTTGGCTTGGTTTGTGCCGATCGTGTCTGCTGTCTCTGTTCACTCAAAGAGCGTGGTAGCACTCGCCATATCGAGACCCCGCAGATGTTCAAGAGCTCTTAAGCATGCGACAGAACCAACAGTCATACCATATCGCAAAAAGCAGACTTCATAGGAGTGCATGAATAATTCGATTTTTAAGGCCGAACCAAGGAAGCTTTGAATAGTCTTAGATGTGAATAGAGTTGAATATAGCAAACTTTTCGAGCACTAAACAATCATTTCAATGATTACATATTATAAAACATATTTACACTTTACAGTGATGCTACCGAGGTTTGCTTTTTTGGAGCAGCAAAGTTTGCATTTGAGAGCACTTCGGAGCCGCAAAATTTTCTATTTTGGAGTACTTTGAAGCAGCAAATTTTTCATTTTGGAGCAATCCCAAGCAGCTAAGTTTGCATCCTGAAGGTGAAGCAAGTATAATTTACATTCAAGGACATTAATAATTATTTTGGGGCTCTTGTGAAGAGCTAGAAATTATTTTAATTAATTGCAAACTTCATGACACCAGAGATTTCAGGAGCACTCCCTATTTCAGTTGATGATGCAAAAATAATGTCATCGTACTGTTGAACATTCTGAAAAAACTTGTTCAGTGATTATTTTCGTAGCAAATAAACAGAATACTGGTTGAATAAAATAGTACTTCATGAAATAACATTCTGAATGCACCCATGTGATTATCACAGCAGATTTGGTAGACAAACGCTAGACTCACACAGCCCCAACTCCATTTCTCTAAGATGAATTCAAAGATAACAAAAAAAAGGTTCTTTTTCTTCAGAGCTAAAGAAACCTTGCTTTAACACAGTTATCGAAATAACAAGTTTTCTACTGCAAGTATGACTTTGTTGTGTAGCCAAGCTTTCAGTAAAGCTAATTAAAGAGAAGATGAAGACAAAAATTACGATCTTATCAACTCTTTTTATTATATACATGTACCCACTTTTTCGGCATTGTGCACTACGAAGTGCACTCATCCTTCGTGGCAATCAACAAAAGAAAGCAAGGACAATAGCAGAGAGTTGTACCAACCGTTGACACGATGATGAGGTTGCGCTCTTGTCCCTGAAACTCCTCGGCCGAACCAAGCTTGCAGCGGGGCAGATCGAGAGATTCCATGAGACAGCGCAACTTCTGTGCCTGCTTCCGATATGGCGTGACTACACCGACCTGGTCGGGCAGCAGGCCCCAAGGGCCAAATGCCCTTTGGAGATAGCGTATCACCTGCACCACCTCTGATGGGTTGAACCTGTCAAGGAAAGTATCGTCAGTCGATGCAGCGCAGATAAAAATGGGATTTGCTACGCACATCTCCAGCTATGAAGTTCCAGAACTTGTACAGAGTTGTCCTATAAACGGGTTCACTTTGCATATTCTTACCTTGTCACTGTAAGCAGCTCATTTGCTAAAGACTTGTTTACAGAAGTGTCACCTATTGTCAGTGCACTTGCTTGCAAAGTGTTGCAATTTCAATCTTTGCAACCTACACCAACTTTCTTTATGATATTTGCGACGCGTGTGCATTGTGCCTGTGAATGGGATTATGACCAGGCTGCACCAGACGAAGCCACTAGCAAGAAAGAGAGGGGGACAGAGCGGCCTGCTTTTGGGACTCGGTGGCCAAGCATAAATGTTAGAACAATGAAGAATTGTTTTTTAGCTCTCTAACCCAGTTGCAAATACGGTGGAACACCGATTATACAACTTTCAGGGGACCACATATAACCTTCATATAATCTGGCCATCGTATAACAATAAAACTAAGATTATAGGCAGTGACACTCAGCCTTGCCCAAACAACAGGTACAGACTGCCTGAATAAGCCCACAGCACGACCTTGTGCCTCAGCAAGCAAGGTAGATTCAACTATTCCTGCCAGTGGCAGCTAATGGCAGCATTACTAATTAGAAGGGGGTGCAAGGGCGTCTTTTCAAACTTGCATCTTTCTACCGACAAATAGAGCCCAAAAATTGCCTGCACGTGAAAACGAAAGTGTATTGCCAACAGCTTCCAATCAACAGCCTCCTTTTTCCTTTGGCTTGGCACACATTGGAGCAACGGCTCAAGGCGAGCTTCTGGTTAGCAATAACAGCTCGAATAACAATGAAATAGCATAAATTTAGAGACGGACAACTCTTCTTATCCAAGTTAACAGCGAACAAGCAACCAAGGGCATTATCAAGGCACTTGCACTTCACTCACCAAGACGGGCAGCTGCCCTCCTTCTGCGCACGGCCTCGCACGCCGTGAAAGAACACTGGGAAGTCGGGCAGTGCTCCTCGGTCTTTGTTTTCAACACAGCTTCGAAGCTGGCTGTCGTAGAAGAGCCTGGAGTAAGGCTCCAGCAGGGACTGCGCACAGCGGTAGCTGCGTACGAAAAGATTGGCCTTCAAATTCACTCAAACATTCCAGCACAGAAAACGGAAAAAATAACAGCACAACCTCAACAATTTTCAAATAATGTAACAATTTTATAAAATCTAGTAACACTAGAGTAGACTCTTGTTAAACAGAACCTGAAAGACAGTAAAAATATGTTCCATTTCAACACTAGTCTTGTGTTGGGCTGCAGAATTCAAGTACGAACAGGGCTGCAGAATTCAAGTACGAAACCAATTATACGAGAGGTGGTCATTTCATGCTTAATAAGGGCATTTCAATCGACTGAGAGCTTACTTCACTACAAGGCTGCCAACCTGATATATGCAGCTAGAATTTTTTAAATGGCAGACAGCCAGACTGCTATCGGCCAGAAGTGTAGTTTGCGATCAGAAGCTTGATAATAGCTGATGATGGCAAACTTGACCAAAGTGAAACATGACCGCTTGATAAGAGGAAGTGTGAATAACATTGATGAAAATACACAGTTCATTATTGCAAACATGAAGATGCAATGTCTCAAATTCTGCCTACTTTGACCTCTTCATTCTTCAGTATGTCTACTCTTATGAGCAATCTCAATTTTTCGTACTTACGTTCTTAAATGAATGGCAAAATAAGAGCAGGACACGTGAGTTCTCTACATACATTTTATGTTACAAAATATTAAATATTTGCTTCAACTCAAACTTTAGTATTCACAGCTTTCAAAATGAACATGAAAGTTTCCTATATTGTTTCCTCGCAGTATGATGTATCAACTGGCGCTTCAAGACACCCATTTGCAATCAAGGAGAATTTTGCCTATCACTCGTATTACAAAATATTTTTTGAAATTTTTGAGTGAATTGCACGTGTGTGCTATAATATGGCACCATATAATCTATACCCACAATTACAACAGAACAGGGTTTGCATATTTACCCCACTTATACATATTAACATATAGGTGTTGATCTTGATAAAAATACCACAGCAGTACTTGGAAACTAAACTTACTCCATAGATTAAACTGCTTTTTTTTTGGTGAGCAAAAATTCAATTTCTCATCATGAGGCAATTGTATCAAGGTTTTGTGCAAAGCTCGCTACTAAAGCCCTTCACTTCAGTATTATTCCATAATATTTATACTAGTACTCACTCTAACCACACTCTTTTTTTTTTATTGCGACAAAAACTTGCCTTTAAGGCATAATATTTCTGTTAAATATGTGCTGTCAGGCCGGTGTTGTGCATGAAGTGAAGTAGTGTCTTGTGGAATATGTTTTCATGTATCCAGCGGTTGTAACTGGCTGTGTCGCTGTAGCGAAGGCCGGCTTGAGCGAGGTGACGGGAGTGTTCTGGCTGCAACCCTTTACATGTCCATAAAAGATGGTATGTATCTGCTTGCATCGCAAGAATGGGACAATACGGACTACACTCAACTGATGCAAAAACACTATCCAATAAACATAGTGAAAATACCTACAAACAGCTGGCTATTTATGGGACAGAAAGCCCTGCTAGATGCTGGACTGATATGAAGAGCAGAGAAGCAGCACGAGAATGAATCGAAAGATAGATACATAGATTGCCTACACTGCCATACCGACGTTACTGAAAGCACCATGTAGGAGTATGGAAAGACGTGGTTGTCAAAACAGTGCAGGTTCTTTCGTTGTTTCTTTTTTCCATGCACAAAGGCATTCTTCAATGTTGTAATTACACTGAAGCAGGTCATTTGTCATCAAAGATGCCATCCTGGAGTGCCAGTATGTTCAAAAATTCTATTCAAGATGTCAGGTGCAAGCTATCTGAGCAAAAAAAATCACAGGCATACGACCAAAGGAACAGCACCTACTCACCCTCCGTAAGGGCGCATAATGTTTACGCCAAGAGAATGTTACAATATGTTATTATAGGGTCAACTTGCAGCTGGGAACTAGGAAATAATGGATATTTCCAACAAGTCTGTACCTGTTTCGGAGCCGTGTGACAGGAAGACAACTGAGCTGCTTTGGGTCGCCTGCACCGTTCTCGCTGAGCAGGAGTCGGTGGAGCAGGGACTCTCCGAGGCCTCCCTTGACAGCCAGCCGCGATCGAACTACCGGACCCAGTTGCATGGGGTCCCCGCCCAGCACGAGGCTTCCTCCGGCCAAGCATACTAAGCCTGCTACCACTAGGGTCTCTGGCTCGGTTGCTTGTCCTGCCTGCAAAGGGAAACACTTAAGCCTCTGTACAGGCGAACCTCTATCAACGGTGAGAAAACAAACATTTCCTAACCGATATCGGCTTCCAACGAGACCCACGCCCATGACAAGTATTGATTACTGGTAGCAACAGGATTTTTGCGTTACCGAGCACATTTATTTCAAAATAATGAATCTTCCTTGCGTCTTCAGAGTCGTGAAAATCTTGAAGTTGCAGAACAAATAAATACTTTCTGAATGAGTTTTGAAATGCCTAAGACTCCATCAAATATAGTACAACACAACAGGCATTTCGCATTTTATAAGCCATCTTGATGTCGGAAGAAGACAGGGCTAAGAGGACAGAACTAAGAATAAAAACTAGAAGAGTGCAGCAAATAACACAAGTGAAGCGGCAATACTAGCAAGCTAGAAAGGAGGAAGAGTAAAGGTAGACAGCAGCTACTAATCTGCTCACCTCGTCCAAGAAGCCATGGGTAAAGTGATCGGGTGGGAGTCCCAGACCATACAGGGCGCCTGCTGTCACCACCGTAGCCACAACGATACGGTGACGAGCTGCTTTCTTGAGGTGACCAGTGTTGACGCACAGGTGTTTGATTCGGGGAGGCACGCTCTGCCAAAAAATTGAGAAGCAACACAAAGCAAAATTTATTCAGAAAAAAAAACTGCATTTGTGAGGCTGGCAGCAATACATTAAGTGTGGACCAATTGCAGCCAACAGGTGAAGGGTACAAACCTCCAATTTCTCACAACTCATCGTTCTGCTTCCTTTCATGCACAAAACAGACGTCTAAAAAAAGCTACGGTGAAACCTCGGTGATACGAATTTCGCGGGGTCACTACAAATATTCATATCTGAAATTTGTATCATCAGAAAATGAAGAAAATTAGCATGCGACAAAAGAAAGCTGGTGTAAGTTTTCACTTATTGTTTCTCAGGGCCGCAGCGACGTCACGAACGGCTCTGAATGGTTTCCAACGAAGTTTTTAGACGCCAATGATCACACTTGCACTCAAAAATATAAGACTACTGCTCGGGTGTGTAATTAATGAACCAGGTGTGTTGTGACTCGCAACAGCTTTTGGCCCCTGCGTATTTAACACATCAGAGTACGGTGGTGCAAGTGATGTAAGGAGTGCCTTGCACGCGAAAGATGATGGCTAAACAATTTTAGAACTGCTGCTCTTTTTTACGGCTACGATGCGTCACTCGAGATTTACTCTGATCACTGTCACCGTGATTTTGATGAACTGGCGGCGCTGCACGCATGCCCGCGCTTGGGTTCATAGGCCCGCCCCTGTTTGTCGCCTCTACCGTGACAGTGCGGGGAGCACATCTTTTTAGCTGGGCAGTAACTTATGTTTGTATCAAACGACACGGGTGAAAATCGGTTAGCAACAACCGTACTCCATTGTATTGCAGGGCAATGGGTCTTGCCCGGGACCACAGAAAAATTCGTATGACCCCGAAGTTCGTACGAGCTGAGACCGTGTCACCGAGGTTTTATTGTAACTTTCTCAATAAGATGATCATATCGGTTAGCAGAGTTAGCACAAGAGCAGCGACGGAATGCAAATACGATTAACACGAAAGTGCCGCAAAAAGTGGTCATTTTATCAGTAGTTCATTGTATTTGGACTAACTCTAAAAACGTGCACGTAGCGACCACGCCGATCTTTGTTCCTGTGCATCTTTTGTCGAAGCTCGGCGACAAATGTTAAGCCTTCTCGCATCTTGGAACGACCGCTGCATGCTTACACGTGAATTGAACCATTTTTGCAATTTATTGATACTGTTTCCCTAAAGTTCTGGACCGTTGTGTAGCCAAACATCCTGGCTAGTTTGGTTCAGCGCGTTTCCTACTTGGCACATGCCGTCGCGAGTTAGTCACTTGCAGTATACTACCGTTTGGGTGCATTTGTGCGTTCTTTGTGCCAGATTCATTCTGGACAGTGCGCTGGTACAGTGAGTGAATTGCTCATTCATGCGCAGCGCGCTTGGGATGTCGCCTAATAAAACATATAAGTGCACAGACGCTTCTCGGTGACTGTGCCACAGTAAACCAATGAGCTACTTTGGGTTCTAGGCAAAGTGACTCACACTTTGAAGCGGTCTTGCATGACGTGGCAGCGACAAACTTTCGAACGGCAGCATGGGGCACTGGTACCGACATCATTTCACACAGTTTACATCGCATGCACAGCCAAGCAGATAGCTGCCGGTGACTGAAAGGTTGTTGGCGATGGCAAGTTCGCCGGTTGTCAGTTGCCTTCACTATTTTTCAACGCTTATCTGTGAAGGCATTGCTGTCATTGCCCAGAAGTCACAAAATAGTTAACCGGTCTCAGCCGTTAAGATAAGATGGAAGGCCTTTTGCAGCACATTGTGGCATCGACGACTCGAGGGATGTAGTGAACTTTTATGTGACAAAAAGTCATAGCAGCTACACTCCAACCTCTTTATAACGTATCGTGTTTCGCGAATGTATCGTATCGTTTGTCGTCTATCACGTCTAACGCAAACAATAAATGTCACGTTTTTTGCAAGCGAGACGTGCATCTCGAGTTTTTCGTGACAGATAAACGTATGTTGCATTGTTAGTGAGCGATAAACGCATGTTGTGTTTCTTCACAAGCTAAATGCACTATTATACCCATATGCAGCGAGTGGCAGTGTTGTTGCTGATCTTGCCCGACAGATGGGCCGATGTGGTGGCACTACCATTAAAACCATGATACTGTTGGCAATTGGTCAATAAAAAATTCTGTATCTTTGACATGCCAGTGCTGACATCTGACCCCACTAGCCACCATAGCTAGACTGTAGTTTCGTGATCATCGCCGCAGATTGTAAAAATGTCGCGCTTAAAAAAGCAGATCCCTATACTCCATTGCCTCTGCGGCTGATGTTATCGATGCGTCGATTAGCAGTGAATACAAGGACGACGACCATTCGTCAGACCCCTCAAAAAAGCAGACTATGATTCCAAGTCGATATGATTCCACATATAGGTCGACCCCCCAAAACCATTCTACGAAAAGAAAAAAATCATGAACTTATAATTGGCAATATACAGTAACAAAGTGGCATCATACAAAAAAGAAATTCGTTATACATTTGAACCTGCTTATAAAAAACCTCCATATAACAAATTTCTTGATACTACAACGAAGTCTTATTTTCCCAGCAGTAGACAACCTTGATATAATGAATTTTCCCCACGGACAATCAAGGTTCTAGTACAAGCATGCATCTTCCGCGGCTCGGCAAAGCGGCGCGCTTGTGAACCCGGTGACAAACATCTAAGTGTGAGCGCGTAGGTGAGTGTGAGGCAAGCAGGCGAGCACCTATGCCCAACGAGCCGTTTCTGCCGCCGCGTGCACATGCACAAATGTGCCCCCCCTTCCCCCCCCAGTTCCATACCAAGTACCAAGAACATATAAAAATAATTTCGCGTTGGCAGTGCTACTCTTTTAAGGCTCATTCACACCGAACACAGAGCGGCCAAAGCGGCGAGGTGGCAACGCGGAAAGCGGGGGAAAAACTAGGCGGCAAAGTCGATTGCTCCCCAACCAATCTTTTGCTGCCCATTGAAGCTCGCCGCTTTTCCGCAGCCAATCAGAACACCACGCTCTGGAGGCGCGGCCCTGTGCCTTTGAGAGCAGCATTGCCATGTGATAGCGATCACGGCACGTGCGCAAAAGTGCAAGATGCCCGCCTCTTCTGCCGCGATCAGCTTGAAGTAGACTTGTGGTCTGAACAAGTTCACGCACTCGCCCCCTTGCCGCTTCGAAAAGCCCCCTTTGCCGCGCCACCTTCGGAGTGAATGAGCCTGCACATGGAGGGCACTTTACCGACTAGTTTTCCGCGGTATCCAAGTCATTCGCTCTTCGTTGTCGACACTGTGCGCACGTGCACCGTTTCGCTGCGCGCCCATGGCATGAACCCCAATGATGTTCTGCTTAGCTTTTTTTTTCTTTTTTTATTAAGATGTCGAGATGGGTGGTTTCATTTCTGTTTGAGCATTTGATGACAGTTCTAACACGCGGGGGATGTTGTGCCTCTTCCAGGCAATAGAGATGAGCCGACTGATTTGATCTCTGCTTCAGCAGTGCTCGCGCTTTTACCTGTTGTGGTAGTTACGATGCACGGGGGCACAGTATCGACTTGTTACGGAACATGGCGGCGACAGCAAAAACCCACCGAAAGTGTCCATATAATTGCTATCACAATAATAATGCAGTTTTTTACCGCTAAATAAGTGTTTTCCGTTAGCTCTGCTTTCAATCTCCCTTTTTTTGTGCTTTTAAATTACAAATATTTGTTCAGAACCTGCACATAACAAAATCTTTGTAACAAATCTTTTTGGGAATTCATTAATTTCGTTATATCCAGGTTTAACTGTATCAGAAAATTCATTATGAAAGTTGATTCTTAACACTGTTCTGAAAGAATATTCTTCAGTTACTTGGTTGTAACCAACATTTTGTTATATCAGGGTTTGTTATTTATTTATGCATTTATTTATTCAGTACCTGCATCGCCTGTGCAGGCATTACAGCAGGGTGGTATATACATCACTAGATCCAATTGTCATTCATTTCTGCACACAAAGCGTGATAAAAATCACCATGACATTGAACTTTTGCAATATTTGACAAAAGAGCATTCCAATCCCTCGCAGTCTTACGAAAAAAAAAGAATAACGTAAAGTCTCTTTCAAAGCATGGTCCCTTCTACAAGAAATATATGATCGTAATGCAATATATTTGTTTCTGTCAAATCCAGTTCTTGAATAGAAAATGCTGTGAAAAAATTTGATTCTCGGTGCTTTCCGCCTGCCCTTTAAGTCTTGCCAATGAAGTGAACGCTTACCGTAATTACTCGAATCTAACGCGCATCTTTTTTCCGGTTAAGCGAGTTTATAAATCGCATGCGCGTTAGAATCGAGTTCGAACAAAAAAATTACGGTCAATCTATTGCCATCGGCAAATCCAAAATGGCCGCCCCCTACGTGCGTCGGAATGGCGCGTCGGCCATTTCTGCCTATGTGTTTCTTATGTGCGGCACTTCGTACGTGTGCTGAGGAGTCCGTCATCTGGTAGTGCATTAGCATCGACGGCGTGGAAGGGCCGACTCCAAAAACTCGAGTGCACCACGATGCCGCTTTTAAAAGAAAAGTCATGGCGTGTGCAGAAACGGACGGAAATTGGGCCGCATCACGGTCGTTCGGAGTTCCCGAAACGTGCGTGCGAGACTGGAGGAAACAAAAGCAGAAGATTGTCGACAGCAAAGCTTCACGCAAAGGCTTCAGTGGACCACAGCAGGGTCGGTCTCTGCAAATTAAAGAGCGTCTCGGCAAGTATGTGCTTGAGCAGCGAGCGGCACAGCCCGTGACGACAGAACTGCTCCAAGTGCTGGCTATGCAATTAGTCTTAAAAAAAGGTCTAATGCGGAGCCAGTTTAAAGCGAGCAGGTGCTGCCTAACTAACTTTATGAAGAGGAAAGGCTTTTCCCTCCGAAGGGGAACATGCATATGCGAAAAGTTTTGCGGAGGAGTACGTAAAAGCTTCACAGTTTTCAGAGGTTCGTCCTAAACTTGCGGCGCAACAACAGCTACATGCTTGGGCAAATCGGGAATGCCGATCAGATGCCTCTTTACTTCGACATGCCTGGCACCACAACCGTCGAGAAGAAGGGGGCAAAGCAAGTTCGCGTGCTGACATCGGTCCACGGTAAAACTACAGTGATGGCAATGCTCTGTTACACGTCAGATGGGCACAAGCTTCGCCCGTACCTCATATTTAAATGGAAGACGCTCCCGAAAAGAGTTCTTTTTTCGAGTGGTGTGATCGTGCGGGCCAGCGAGAAAAATGGATGCGCGTTGCAATCGATGTCTTAAGTTTTTTTTTTTTTTCGCGGTGGAAATCGGGTGCGCGTTACAATCGAGGGCGCGGTAGAATCGAGTAAATACGGTACTTTCAGAAACACTGATGTATTTGTCGTAATTTAAACAGCCTTGTTCTGAATTTCTTCTAGTAAATTGGCTAACTGTAGACTATGAGGATCCCAGCTGACAAATGCGTACTCAAGTATCGAACATATGTGAGTGAAATACAGCCGTTCTTTCAAGTTACTAGGTATTTGTCCGAAATTTCCACGGAGGAAGCCTAATTTGCGTGCTGCTTTTCTTCTTATTTCCTGTACATGCCTATTTCACCTTATATCCGAAGTAACAACAACCCTTAAGTATTTATATTCCGGAGCCATGCGTAACGTAACATTATTTAATTTGTACTCATATGCCCCATGTGAGTGTTTCCTTGTAAAGGTGATGATTGAATAATTCAAAACATTTAGAGACATCTCCAATTTCGTACACCACGCAGAAACTTTATCTAAATCACTCTGAAGGTCATAGAAATCAGAATCGCAATCAATAACTCGATACACCACACAGTCTGCAAACAGCTAGAAAGATAACCTGATTCCACTAGTGATGTCATTTATGTACAACAAAAATAATATGAAGGCCCCAAGACAGAGCCCTGGGGCACTTCAGAGGTGACCGCAGCGACTTTAGAGGAAATGCCATTGAGAACCATAGATGAATACGTGTTTGTGCGACAGGTATTCGCGTATTTATGTAGTAATTACATTTTTGTTCAGTTTGTAGGCACACATGTAGTATGCCAGTAATAAGAAGGTCATGAGCCACAACGTCAAATGCTTTGCAAAAATCTAGAAAGATGCAATCAATTGCCTGCCTTTTATTTATTGCTAGATAATGCTGTTTGGGTGTAGTTGAATTTACAGCTTCTTGCGTTTCATGGCAAGGTTCTGTTTACCGTAGGTGGTTGTAGATGCATAAAATGGCGTCAGAAAAGGTCGTGTGAAAGCTGACCGCAGTTCTTCATGCTGCCTCTTACCTTCTTTTCCTCACTAAAATTCTGCCTGGAAAGAGCAACCCCACTCAATGCATCGAAAATCTGCGTATGGTGCTCACTGATCAATGATAATGTAGTTGTGAGTAAACTCGAGCAAGGCGTATGTGATTGCGTGGCCCTCTCATGTTTTAGAAGACTTGTTCTATCTTTCTTTTTTTCCCACTTTATGTGCATAATATTTTTACCATGATTGTGCCTGAAGTGTTCGTAGTAAAAGTAGGAGGCTTTAAAAACCTTCACAATATGTGGGCGCAGTTCAATGAATAGCATAGGAAGATCGCAGTTGCTCCGAAATAAAGTCCTTAATTCGATAAATCATTATAGCTAGGATCGTTATATGTATGTGGGTTTGAGTGGATCATAAAGGCACCAGGCATGACAAATGAACAAAATTCGCCAAACCACTCACATCGACGTCCCTCTGGAACCCCAAAAGGCGCACAATGTCAGAAGACACCAGCTGACCAGATGCCCAAAGCTTTTCCGCCTAAAAATAAAAAAGAAACGCGAAAATGAGATGGCATTTCAGAGCAGTGGCAACTCAATGCACTGCATTTGTGTACGAATTTTTTTGCCACTACATTACAGAAACTATGGGGGAGGGAAGCAGATAATTTGGGCATGTTTCTGTCACACACAAGTCCACCTGTCTCACATACAGTTCTCCATTTCGTTGCAGTAAGCCCGGCGTAGCATTTGCTACAAAGACACCAGAGGGAACTCTGGTGCTAGTGCCTACGGGTTCTGCAACGCACGGCGCTTCAGCGATCATGGGAACGATGGGTAGTACACAAATCTCTCTAATTTTCATACCTTCAGCTCCGTCTGGCTTTGCGTGGCTTGAAGCTGCTATGTCATGACACGAAAATCGGCAAATGTTCAGCTCCTGCACTTCACCACCTTAACCTTTTAGGCTCACCAATTCTAATCTGCTCACGAAACTCAAAATGGTCCGTTATTTTTATTCAAAACAAAACCCAAACGCAGCAATACACAAAGCTACAAGTGCGTTCGAAGCCCGCAAGCACAAAGACAAGGCAAATTTGTGCACTACCCATCATGCTCATGGTCGCTTAACAAAATCACAGCGCCAGAGTCCCCTCTTGTTGACTTCATGAAACTCTATGGAGCCTGGTGCTTCTTAGTCGCAAACGACATACACGATGTCAAGGTGACATGGAACTTTTGATAGAACACTAGCAAGCACACAGTTTCCAAGAAATAAAATGCTAGAAAGCCATTTGACAATCGGCATAGTGCAGCAGGAAGATGGCCTGATTGCATATTTTTTAAAGGGGGTGTACACTAGGGGTGTACATTTGTTCCACGAGAGTAATGTTCTCGCTCTCACGTGCCTTTTTTTAATTGAAAATCTTCTTAACGCTGCGAGCACAGTACTTAAGGTCACAAACGACCTGAACTACATCGCTGTAACATAGGTTTCTTGATAGAAAAAAAAAAGTGGTGAGTGCTCTCCAAGATGTTAAAAAAAAAGAAAAAAAAATGGAAGACAATCGTGCTTTTCGAACAAAGGAACATCCTTTGAGGCTGTAAACAATTTCTTGTGCAAACTTACCATTTAAGGGGAGATGCTACTCGAAAAAGGTTTTTTTTTATTTCATAACCCAGCTCCTTGAAATTTTAGGTGTTAGTAAAGCTTGCAGTGCTGATTTCATAACTGCAATTATTTGTTTGATAGCTATAGTAGTTCCGGAGTTACTACAACTTTGATATCAAAATATAGTGTTTTTTGTGCACATAATAAAGCTTACTAAAAATTTTCACACAGAATTGCAAAATGGCTCATTTTGCTGCACTTGAGCAGTACAATACAGAAAAGTACCTCAAACAGAAAATTTATTTGCTACATTAAAAAAAAAAATTAAAAGTACTAAATGCATATTTTACATCTCTCTATCAGTGTATCAAGTTGTGTAACAAAAAATCTGTGATGTATAATGCAACCTAAAGTAGATACTTGTATTCTAGAGTGGCTGATTAAGCTCTGTGCAAAATTTCATCAAGATAGGACTATTTTATGCCTAAAAAAGATTGTGCACAAGATGAGAGAATTACCTCAAAATGGAAATCGAGAAAAATGCATTTGAAAGTTGTAAATATGTTTACTCATGATTACACAGTGCGATTTGCACAAAACTTGGTGATATCATAGGAGGGACACAGCTAGAGCACCTAAAATTGTCCTGCTCCATATGTGGATCCTTCTCGCCGCTTGAGAAGGGAGTCATCAAGGCGCGCTTTCTTTGCCACGTTCCGCCGATGGGCCCTTGCCTCGGCTGTTTCACACGCAGACATTCTTTCGATTCTCCTCTGGTCGCGGGATCGGCCCAGGGTGATCAGTTGATCTGGTGGGACTACACCAAGCTCCTCTAGCACGTGTTCAAAGCTTGAATGTCCTTTATTGAACCACAACACGGCCATAGCAGCTGCAGTTTCCACTGTTGTCCGGGAGGCAAACTTAGTCTTCGGACACAACAACCAGATTTTGCTGTTCAAAGATTCTGCAGCGTTTTGGGTCTTCCCTTGGATACAACGCAACAGCAACTTTTCATCTGTGAGCCGCTTGTAAATGGGAAGCACAGCCAATCCTTGAGCCTTGGTCAAGATTGGTGTGTGGTCGGGTGGGGCCTCCCCAAGCGCTTCAGCTCGCCTATGCTTGCACCAGGAAGTCGCCCCTTCTGGACAGTATCGGTGGCTGCCTGCTGTGTTGCTCGATGATGAATGGAAATATGAGGCCCAGATGGCACGATGCATTTTCAGAATATCACCTCTGTTGTTTGTGATTGCAATACGGTAATAGTTCTGCAGCTTCTGAATTGTGCCATCTGTCAGCTTTTCCCCTCGTGGAAGTCTTGTTGGCAGTTTCCGAAGTGCAGTGCCTAGACGCTTGGCCACATGGTTTGTGCACTCCTCCTTGTCCACAACAGCTTCACCATATACCTTGGCCTCAGCGACAGCGGTATAAGCTTTGCTGTCCCCATCACTGAGGAACTTGGTGAAGCGCAATGGTGTTGTGTATGAGGATGTCCTGCCCCATATGCGCAAAGCTGCCTCAGTCTCCATGGCATGAGAGGAGCACTCTGTATTTTTTTCGCAGACAGGTGTGTGGAATGCTTGCCATATTTCTTCCTCATCACCCAAGTCCTGGTGCCGGCTACAGGCAAGGCAGTAATTCGATAGCACTTCAAAATCTAGGCACAAACCAGTGTCCACAGACACAGCAGTGCCGATGCCATTGTGGCTCTTGTGCCCTCTTTTTTGCCATGTGCCATCATACATGACAGCAACATCAGCCCCATCCACTTTCTCTTTAGTTATCATCCGCGCTTTCGCCATGTTTTCTTGCACAGCTTTGGTAGCTGCAGCATGAACTTTTTTGCCGATTGCAATAAAAGTCTTATGATGCATAGGTATTGGCAGTCCAAGAATAGCGCAAAAACGCGACAGCTGTTCATGCCCAATGCCTATTGCACGCGCAGCCACAACTACCTTCACATTGACAGCGAAGCTGTCGCGCGAGCTGCCGCTTCGGTAGCTCCAGTCATCACCGGCATCGGTGGGCTGTCTTTCCGGCAGAACACGCCGCGAACTATGCGCGGCAGAAACCACTGACTCAGGACACTCACTGTTATCACAGTGCAGCTCGAGGAACGAAGAGAGGCCCTTACGTTTACTTGCGGTGTCGCGAACGACGAGTCCAGCGGTGTGGCATGTTGGACAAACAGCACGGCTTACCATCGATGTCAGTGCGCCGATGTCACAAAATACTCCGCTCACAGAGCCACAAACACTCTTCGTTCTTTCGCTTTCGAACTGTTCAATCTTTTTTCTGATGCGCTGATGAACTTGATCGCGGCGTCGATTTCGTCAAAGTTCCCGCAAGCCGCCGTATCCCCGCTGCCTTGATTAGGCCTAGTGGCCCGCGGCTCGCATTCTTCTACCGCTGCTTTGCGCTTCGGTTACGTCGACGCCCTTGGTACTTGTTCTTGCTTGCAAACTTTCGTGCTCGGAAGTCTCGCTTCTTCGAGTTATCCATGGTGAACTCGGAAAAACATAGAAACGCACGGCAAGTGCCGATCGTCGCAAGCGCTCAGCGAGCGAGGCCGATCAGATGTAGCCAATGGCGGCCTCGGTAGCGTACCATGTGACCGGTAGAGATGCGCGAAGCGGCTGCAGCTTGGCTGCAAACCGACTTGGAAACGACTGTTTTGTGAAATTCCTCACTAAAATACGAAACTAGGGGGACGCCTGTACACTAGAAGGAGCCTTGATCTACACCACCGAACAAACCCCGATGGCGGACGTCATCGTGTTGCCGAGTGGCGGATTTTCAAAAATAGCCGTCGGATGCGTGAATTCGCGACTTCGGCAGCTACCTTCACTAGCGCAGATCGATTTTTTACCACTTTCTCATTTGAATTCAGCTATGACCTTTGGGGAAATGATAGTTGAATGATCAAAAGTGATTTTAGCAGCAATATCTCAAAAGTGGAAATTTTCGCAAAAAACGCGATTTTTCGACCCGCATCTCCCCTTAACTAGAAAAGAGGATAGGACAACAAAAATTGATTTCTTTTGGCTTGGCACACAATAAAAGCTTCATCCACACTGACAAGATAGCTGCCATAAAGAACACACTATTATGATGACCCTTTTAAAGGTGAAATTATGCACGCAATGAAGAAAATTACATTAAAGGACCAAGCACATTTTGTGATCAACTTTAATACAAGCACTGCAGGAAGTTAATATTGTAATAATTGCATAGAATACTTTATATTTCCTTTAGAAGAAAAGAAAATGCTAGGATAGCGAGCACACGGTTAAACTGTGGCTCAGCAGAGATCCCTTCCAGACAGGTGATCTGATCTGTACTAATCAGAATTTGACAAACATCATGATATCACGCCTGAATGCACAAGGCATTGCATTGACATTTGAACTTTCGAAATTTCCAGAGCCCTCCACCACAGCATCACTCATAATCATATGGTGGTTTCGGGACGTTAAACCCCACATATCAATCAACATTTGAACCTTCATAATAGTTATGCAAGAGCAATATGCAGTAATAACGCAAGGCAAATGTGTCCAAAAAGTTATTCTTCACCAGCAGTTATTCGCACTATAAACTGAATCGGTACGAACCAAAAGGTCTGCCGCACTGTTTGATGGTGCACAGGCTATCACTCGACTGTGCTGTAGGTTCTGGAACACCTGCAAAAACACAAGGTTTGTAATGAGTAATACTGAAAGGGAAACACTGAACAAATATTAATGCATGCAAGTTTGGGATTCAATTCCACTACAAATACTCCATTAAAAGAACACTGAAACGGCTTTGATGTTAGTATGTGAAGTTGAAGCCGTAGCTTTCATGATCTAACATGCACTGGTGCATAACTGCTGTAGATTGAGGCTTAGCCCCAATCCAACCACTCAGTGAAGAAGTCAAGGAAGAAAAGCGTGGTTTGGGAGTAAGGCAACAACCAGACGCTCACAAAACCTTTGACACAACACTCCAACACAAACAAAATCTTTCACACAACAATTCCCTTGAATTTGGCTTACACAACAATTCACTTGAATTGTGGCATGAGTGATTTATTCTAGTGATAGCCCAGCCACATACACAATTTCGAAAAAGTGATTCAGACCCATGACATCCTTGCTATGAAAACATTTGAGCCTAGAGATTGCACCCATTAAAAAGCACATAAGATGCTATGACATTATGCATTAAAGGGACAAAATGGTGACATGCGGAAACAAGGCCACATTGTGCAGCAACAAATCAGCCTTTTACAGCAGTTAGCAAATGCAATTTCAAACAAACAAGAAGAATATGCTTTTGCAACTTGCCTGCAGGATGGCCTCGACCAGAGTGACAGTCTTGCCAGTGCCAGGAGGACCCCAGACAATGTATGGCAAGGAACACCTGGATGCGGACATGATTCGGTGCACGGCTTCTCGCTGAAGCTCATTCAACTGCTCGTTGACAAGCGTCAAGGGCCACCTCAGCACCGCCGTCCTTAATTCCGTCTTGGGAAACAGCACTGCAAAGAAACAGACACAAGGCTCACGCACTTCGTTTACCATTCCATACACGCAAGACCATGACAGAGGCCAGTTCGTCTATTCAAACACACAGATATCGAGCCACTCTCTCATTTCTGCTATGAAACCTTCGCCTTATGCAAACAATTTCATTATTACTACAAAGGGAGCCCTGGCGTACTTCTATGAGCTGCTGGACTAAAACACCGTCTATACACTAGACCAGGCGTCTCAAACCTACATCAGCTATGGGGCCAAAATCATGCAATTTAGCCCGTAAAGGGCCAGGACAATCTAGAAGTAGGAAGGGGTGAGGGGATCGAAAATTCCAATTTCATGCGTCTTTCCCATATTTCATATACAGTTGAACCCCTTTATAAGAGACACTGATACTATAACAGACACATAGGTAAAAGAGGCACCAATGTGCCTACTGTAAAATACGGATCAATATCAAAATGCATATACGGTACCTTGTTTATACGAGAGATCTTATATAAAAGACAAGAATCGCTGCCCGGAGCATGCCTCTTATAAAGGGGTTTAATTGTACTATGTCAGTTATTATATATGGATCAGGACTACAGAAACATATCGATACCGATCCTCACAATTACAACAATCTGGACGTCAATTCTGAAGTATACAGTCCTTATTTCATGGCTATATTACAAGACAAGGTGACCACAAAGGTGCCTTGCATTAAAAAAAAATCATAAGACGAGTCATGTCTGTAGCTTACCGGAACAAAGCATTATTAATCATGATAGACGAGAAAATAATGCGGGCACTATATAGCAATGTCACAAACAATCGCTAAGCAATTAAATAAACATGGAATGAAGAGTTTTATGTGTGTGCCGCGGACTGCAAAGGAAAGGTTGGCGGACAGATGCTTGAGCACCTGCACTAGACTACAGTTAAACCTGCTTATAATGAACCTCTATATAATGAATTCCTCGATATAACGAAGTTTTTTTATTCTTCGCTGTCGCTCCATAGAAGCACATGTATTTGCGACCTCTATGTAACAAAGTAACTGCGGGAGACAACTTTGATATAATGAATTTTCCCCTCGGACAATCTAGAAATTTCGCTCCGCATTTTGGCATTTTGCTATGAGCATGCATCTTCCGCGACAGCCCCGCTGCCACCGGAGCGGCAGCAACGAGCGTGCCCCCCCCCCCCCCCCCCCCTCCAAAAACTACTTTTGCGTGTTGGCAGTGCCACGCTTTTAGTTAGCATCACATCTGTGGGACCGTGTTACATAAGAGGGTGCTTTACCTAATAGTTTTACGCGATATCCATGTCTGTCTCTGAGTCGTTTGCATTTTGTTTTCGATGCCGTGCACGCGTGCATAGTTTCACTGCGCGCACATGGTGCGTCTGTGTTCCCCTGATGACGTTCAGCTTTGCTTTTTTTTTTTTTTCATTGCTATAGACATTTTCAGCTGTTTTTTTTTTTTGCCGCCGCCGCCTTCATTTACTTTAATGTATACGTATCTATTTATCTATGTATGTATGTATGTATGTATGTATATATATATATATATATATATATATATATATATATATATATATATATATATATATGTGTGTGTGAAAACTCAAGAAAGGAAAAAAAAAGCCCCCCCCCCCCCCCCCCCACTCGGCATCCAGCTGGTCACGATGCATGCGCTGGTGCGTGCTTATCTCCCACGGGTACTTTGCCCAACGGGGGGGGGGAGGGTGTAGATACTTGTGTGGGCACGCTTATCTTTCGGTGAGAAGAATCGTGCACCTTCTACTTTGACTAGAGCGATTGAGTTTGATTGAATTTGCCCGGCGCACAAAGATCACTTCGCTGTTTTCACCGTTTTCACATAGTCCCTTCCCGTTGAAACCGCACTGATAGTCGCCGAGATAGGAAGCGCGCCTTCAATCGCAACTCCCTTCAAAATACAAGTTCATTATTGGTACTCGAGCGATCCCCCACCGCGTTGTTTCATGCTCCTTTAAGACGGGTGGTTTACTTTCTGTTTGAGCATTCGATGGCAGTTCTAACAGGCAGGAGATGTTATGCCCTTTCCGTTCGATAGGGACGGGCTGACTTATTTGATCTCTCCTTCAGCAGCGCTCGTGCACTTTTACTTGCTCGTGAAAGTTACGATGCACGGGGGCGTGTTATCAATTTGGACTTGTTATGTAACATGGCCGCAACGGAAAAAACCCGCCGAGAGTGTCCATTTAATTGCTATCGCAATAATAACACAGTGTTTTGCTGTAAAATAAGTGTTTTGGGTTAACTCTGCCTTCAGTCCCCCTTTTGTTTAATTTTTGCATTTATTTTCTGAATTTTCGTACTGAACTTTCATATAACAAAATCCTTTTATAACGAATTTTTTTAGGAATTTATCATTTCCGTTATATCTAGGTTTAACTGTATACTTTTGTCCATGCAGGAAATGAAACCCTCTAACAATTGCCCTTTTCTCTTACTGAACTATACAACCTAATTTACATGTGTCTCAACCTAGTAGACTTGTAGACCATGCTTCACCTTCCGTTTGCCACTCAGTCACTCATCATCCCTAACATTTCCATCGTCTTTCCGAATCCAGAGCAGCAAGGCAGGAAAAACTACAGCTCGCACTGACCTTAACGTACATAAATTCAGCTCGCTCTTTTGTGGCAAAGTCTAAATAATTGAGCGTCAAATGTTGCTTGGCAGTTGGAAACTGAGTTTTCCCATGACACCAATTGTGAAGGCCTTCTAAACTAACTGCCACAGCAGCGAAACCACAAACAAAGGTGCAACAGCTGTGCCAGTTGTGCCAATTTGATACAATTCCCCATTTTCACGCCGAGCTGCGCCAAAACTATGAAATTTGCTCAAATTGCGCCCCGCTCACCAAAATGCCCGACCAGCCTCAAAATTTTCTCAGATGCGCTATTTTCAGCGAGAAATGGAGGCCACATACGTTGCCCACATGCAGTTTGAGTCACCTAATCAATCTAAGTGTGCAGACTCTAACCTCAAACCACGGTAACATAACCACACTAACCTTGATCCCATTAGGTCAGGGCACTCGTGGGATAGAATCGACCAGATAAAGTAACAAAGCTGTGCACCTATCAGTCCGCTGACCGCAACGGATACTTATCGGCGGAACGACCCAACTTCAAGACAAAAATGTGTTTCTGCAGCCACGAATGCTTCGCGGAAAATATGAACTTTCTAGTCAGCAAATGCGGCTATGGCATGTTAGCAACTAGAGCTGGGAGCTTATACCGCGCTTTCCGCGCGCGAACAGAGTCGACGCTCTGCGAACGCCTGTGTTGCCGGCGACCACGTTCGTCGCCATAGCAACGACACATAAAGCATTTTTTTATTTTGAAGTTGCCTTTAGTACGTGGCCCCGGCGATAGATATCCGGTGCCGTCGCCAGACCAACGGGCGTGCGCCGCTGTTGGAACGCAGGTAGAACGCACCTTGCAAGCGAGCCGAGATGTCGTGCCCTAAACCTAACCGCCATCGTAAAAAAAAAAAAAAAGGAGGGGGGGGGGGGGGTGCAGCAGTGTTAGAAAATTTATTTCTTTGTTCTAACCCGTGCAGAGGAACACTGCTTAAAGGGCCACTCACCAGGTCTGACAATTTTAAGCTGACAATTGCAATGCGTAGACGAAGCATTCATGATCACGTCTGCCAAAATTTGCAACGCTACGCGCCGCGAAAATGGGTGAAATTTCAAGATTAACGCTGCTCCCCCTCCCTTCTGCCGGCGCACGCCTAGAGAATGAGGGCATGACGTGGGCGTATGAATGGCCCTACATACACGGCAATGCAATGACATTGGTCCTCTACGTAGACGACTTCGCTCTGACGATGTCAACAGTATACCACGTGACATGGCAAAAATGATTTAACACAACATGCGTAGTTTATGTGTTTGTTGCTTTAACAGATTAATAAAACTTGGAATAAATAATGGGATGCAATAAGGAATTTTGCGCGTTTTTCTTTCATTTTTTTCCGTGAAATGCCACAAGATGCGGGGCTAATGTGTCAGCGTTTCGCTTGCGTTCGTGTCTCTGCGGTCAGCGCATTGAGCAGACGACTGCCCTCGAAAGCTCCTACGCATTCGCGCACTCATTGTGCTCATCTACTCTACCGTGTCTAAGCTAGCATTTCCAAACCATCCCGCAGAAACAGGCAGAAGACCACAAAATAACTGTGGTCAACAAAGCAATGCTGCTCGCGTGCTCGGGGGTTGGACTTGTATGGGCACGTCATGCGCACATCACCTCATGGTCGGATGCTGGAGAGGGTGGGAAGAGATTTGGCTTGCGAAGGCTACGCGGAGGAGTGGCAAGGGTTTCGAGCTCGCCTCCTCTTATTTTCATTTCGCACCGCTTCAAAAAACTTGTTTTCTCCACTTGTGATGAACCCATTAAAAAAGTTTTTGTGGTAAAATGTTCTTCATCGGGCACCCAACAACTTCCACTGTCTAACTAAAATTCTATATGGGGCCTGGTGAGTGGCCCTTTAAGCAACTTTCGCCGCAATACACTAGTGCCCTACGGAAAAGCGTATTACGTTTTGAAAGAGGCTGTTAGCACTACTCACGGGACAGCAAATTTCGTTCAATTACTCATGCGTGTATAATACCACAAAATTGTGAGCACTAGTATGATCGCTGAAATCTGAAGAAGTTACTGGTAATCATTTGGGGCAGTGTATCACACTTCTGCCACCCTAAACAAAAAACAAACTGCGCAAGGTTTATTATTATTTTTTTTTTCTTCACTTCTACTTCTCAGTTTCACAAATTCCTTATTCTTAAAAAAATTTGACAGATACGGCAAGTGCTAATGTGTACTCCATCATTGTTTGCTCAGTGGTCTAAATCGAAATACTAGTTTTATTGAAACAGCAGTGCTTATCTTTGCTCTGCATGATTTAGGTGATGTTGAATGGCTTGAACATACTTTATTTTTTCTGAATGTGAGCCTTCTCTGCTACAAAATCGGTCTTTTGTGATAAAAAAAAAAATTCATGTATTACTTCCCATAACCTGCTCCAAGTTTGAATTTTAGTGTTCCAGAAGTAAGCTTCTGCTGCTTCAAAAATTGCTCCAAATTCTATTTCGGCTGTTCCACCTCTGCACAAATCAAAAGCCACAATCATAACATTGCAAGTGGCTCCCATAAATTATCCTTTGTTCCAAGCATCAATGCTGAAGGTGCACTCACTGGAACGAATCAGAGGTCGCGATATCCGTACAGCCAAATGACTGCGTCTCAAGGGAGTGCGGTTCAGTTGGAAACGCAGCTCCCATGACTGGTTTGGATTTTTCTCCATTTGTTCGTGAAAGGCAGGGCTCATCCTCAAAATGGCCTCATCTGTCATGACCTGGAAGACAAAGGGCACACGCAATTAACAAGCAAGCAATGACAATGAAAGAAGAAAGAAAGTGCCTAGTGTGCGATGAAGCCTTATTTGCTGCAGTAACAAATTATCGTGAACTCTTCGTAAAAAGAAGTCCTCATAATGACACAGCCCCAATGAAAAAGAAAAATTCAGGTGGAACCAGTTTGGGCTATTCATGCATCAGCATTCAATTAATGGCCCAGCGGTTATTCACAAGTTCCACGGCAATGCTAAGGCAAAGCTATTTGGCCGTTACAGAAAAAACGTAGCATTTTATACAGTTCCTAAACAGTGCTCACTGCAGAGTGCCCTCATGTAACAACACTTTGAAGTGAAATGGAAGTGTCACGCTTCTGAACTTGAGTAAAACATAACTCCAAATGCTGCAACACATTTGAATGAATTTATAATGGGCATCTTTACATTGAAGCCTCTTCTCGTTATGGAGTGGCTGAGTTTACCTCCAACATTCAGCGTCCATTTCAGTCCGAAACTAAAAAACTGAAGCTCAAATAAAGCAGTTTACTTACTCTCCTATAGGCGGTGCATAAGAAAAAGAAACGCATTAATCAACAATAAAAAGGTCTTGTTGAACAGCGCTCGACCACAGACCGCCGCGGCCGTGTTGAATCGTCGGAGATGGTGCATAATGCAGAAAAAAAACATGCATGAATTGATAGTGAAAAAGAAACTTCAGCAGTGCCTGACCACAGGACTGCCATGGCCGTGTTGAATTGTCGGAAAGGGCCCAACAACAAACAGATGCACAAAAGGTTGAAGTAGGTAGAGGAAGCGATCATCACCTGATGCACAAAGCCCTCGAAATTGAGCTGTGTGTTGGGGTCATTCGCTGGCTGCAGCAACACTCGATCACCGACCCGAGGCGGGAACTGGCCTTCCTCCAGCCACGAGCTGAGATTTAGTCGAGCCTCGCAGCCGTTGACCTGCAGGGGGGCCGGGCAGAGGACTCGTTCCTCGAGGTCACGGCTCAGTTGAACTTCCTCCAGGTGCAGAAGCAGTTGCAGCTTGTCCACATAGTTTTCGGGACACAACGGCTGCAGCAAACGCAAGGAACAGACGGTGACAAAATGCAACACATTTGATGATGTACTAGGGTTTTTGTAGAAATTCTGGGGCGTTATCAATCAAAATCATGGAATAATAATGAGGTGCACCATGTAGTAGGCTTGCAAATAATTTGGCTATCAATTCATGCCAATCAAAATTTGAAAAAAATAACGAAAAATTTTGTTCTGGTATATCCCATGCATTGTTGAAATCGATTTCATGTGAAGCAGTCATTGAGCATCTGTTTATTGCAAACTTTGAGCCAAGTCATAGGAGGCGGATCAATGCAGTTGTTTGCATATCGTGGGTTTGCCAGGCATGGTGACCATGCTGGCATACAGGGGTAGCTCATTGTCTCGTGTATTGACAGCATTGACTGGTGTTTTAGTGCAGGGCAAGCAATACTTTGCTATAGCTTGTTGTATAATATGAATACATCTGTAATCATTAGAGTGCTATATTAAAATTACAAGCTATAGCAGTCTCTTTCCCTTGTTTCCCGTTTCAATGTCCCATTTTAACCATTTTCAATGTTATTGTCACTGTCCTCGATTGATACAGACGGAATCAAATGTGGCACACAAGTAGGTACCTGCATACCATCGGCCGTGGTATGCACTACACTTTACTGTAGCAAAGGGTGACAAGCATCTCATGTTAATTATATCATGACCTTGCTGTCATTTTCATCATACGTTCATATCTTTTTATGAAAATTTTGGTACTATATGCGAAGTCCCGGATGTGACCACAAAAGTACCCAGACATGAGTCATAGACGGATAGAAATGGTTTAAGCGCTTTTGGTCTGTGGAAAAAAAAAACTGCATTGTTTCAAGTTCACAATAGAGGAACGTCGATGCCCATACCTGTCGAAGCAGTCCGCTGACGTAATTTTCTAAATCTCGATCTGTCCTTTTCCAGAATGCTGGAGGCACAGGAAAATGAGGCAGCCCTTCAGGTAGCTTTGCCTGGCGCCTGTTCGGAAAAATATGGCAAAATGAAGTAGCCATCAATGAACACACACTGCAGCAAAACAGGTATTCTTTTTTTCCTCCCAACTTCCCAGTTACAAGTGCTTATGAAAGACCACAAACTCGAGAGTGAAGCTGGCTGTATGCACTATCTCCCTGGCAGTTGCATATGTTGATGCTTAGGCACATCAGAAGTTTCTGTAGCACAACGCCAGAACGAATTTCTGGCTGCTGGGAAATGAACCAAAGCTTTAAGTTTAGCAGCAGAAATCCCCAAGGTGCAATTGCTCTGAAAGTAAGCAGCGTTCACAGTAACCAGTGTTCTGCTACAGTTGTCACAGTAGGCCAGCTGAACCAAATTACTGTGATGTGAATGAACCTCAGATAAATGCCTCCAAAAAGCTTTTATTACAGGCTCTTTAATGCAATTGCACTAAAATCAGTAGGCCCTATTAGCACCGAAATAAGGCAAATGGTGTAAATAATGTACACATAGCACCTTTACGAAATGAGAGAGTATGGCCTGCTTTTTCGCATTTGTCTATTACAGAGCTGTCAGGCTGAGACTGCCAAAACAGTTCAAGCATGCTGGCAGATACAACAGCTCTTTTTTTACAGAGCTTTAGTCACTCGATCGTAGCTATGACTTATCCATAATTTTTCGAGTCAGTGATTCTTGGGTGAAACAGCTACAAGCTATTCCTAGAAGGCTGTTGGCAGTGCCCTAAGCAATAGCTGGAAGAAAGCAGATTTTTAATGGATGCCCAAATATCGCAATGCTAAGCTGCAGTGACAACTCATGAATTATATGTATATATAAGGACAGAAATAGAAGAGAATTCATCCTTTTTTTGGATGCATTTTCTTACATGGGACATCGTTCCCCGGGCACAGTCCAAAGCTGTTCCTGGAATGCTCGACTGACGGTCTCCACTTTTTTCACCGATGAAGCATTGCTCGACGACGGTGCTAGTCGTGCTTCCAAAGGGTCCACCACTCTGACAGTGGTGACACACTGGACAAAGAAGCCTTCCTCAAATTCAAGCTCGATTCTCGCGTTGTTCGTGCCTAGCTCGCTGGATGGAGGCAAAAGAAAACAAGCCATATTGTAATTTGTTATTACCTTCAAGTATCACTTCATCAAGAGCACCACCTATGCATGACAATATAGAGTGAAAAAGTACACTATGCACCATAATTCACTTAATAGACTGGCATAAAACAATGACTGTTTTTTTTATTTTGTTGAAAGTGGCCTGCCCTCCTGCCGCACCCTGCATTTTTCAGGGTTCAGGGCGCGAAAAGAGCAAATGCTGTTCACTTAACGAACACCATTTTTACTTTCTTTTTTTTTTTCTTATGATATTTTGCTTCACAGCACAACTACAGCAACGAAACTGCGTGCTCTGAAGGATCAGTCTTATGCCAGAATGAACTAAAATCAGATAGCACCCATTGTGAAGAGTATGCAAGCACAAGTCACTCTTGAAGCCAAGCCTAGGTACCTTAAAACAAATGTACTAATGGTGCACAGCAGAAGAAGTCCAACAGCAAGGAACGCTCAAGCACGAAAGGGGAAGAAAAGGCTTATAAACCTTCTTTCAGAACAATGAAAAGTGCTGCGATGGCTTTTGCTGCTAAATTAGCGCATGTAGATGGCACCGAAATCACACAGCACTCAAATTTTGCAGTAGCCATTACTATATCGCAATTGTCAGTGATCTTTATCTCTAAAAAGCCATGTTTTGTGTGGTATGGTGCGACATTTAGCATGGCGCGAGGTAGAAAAGTTCACCTCTGCCACTAAGGCAGAATGGAACGCATGTTGAGCTTTACAACAGGCTACTTACCTGGATTTACATATGAGGTTCAAATGGTACTTGTCACCTGATCCTATCAAGTGAGGCTGGAAGGTCTTGGCAAGTGCCACATGCTTGGCTGCAGAGTTGACCTTGCATGCAACCAGCAAGTGTGGCCTGTCCGTCTTATTCCTGTGAATAACACAATGAAGGGGGTACATACATATGTGCCAATGTGCCGGGACTTCCGTCATACCTGCTAACTGCTAACCAACAGGTTCATGTGAAATACTAGCAGGACACAGCCTAGGTGCCATTAAGGGCTTCTAATTATTATTAGTCAGTAATTAGCTTTGTCCTTCTCCTTGCCAACACTTCTCCTACAGTACTGCATATTACACACAAGCATTAAATCTACTGCAAACTTGGCCAACAAAAAATTTTGAACGTGGTCCACTTTGATCAGGTAGAATGATCACAGAACTGCGATGAAAAGCAACTGTGATGGGAACCAATTAACTCACGTGATGCAAATCTGCCGACTGCGGCTTTCTCCTGGGCTAACCTGGCCGAAGTCCAGTTCCTCGGTCACATCAATGCCTTTTGGGATACAACTGCAGCAAAAAAAAAAGCACAAATGTGGCTATAAACTACAGTAGCTTCCGAGCAGATTGTGTGGAAGTTTTGTGTAACTTTGTGCAATTCACTGTTTTTGTAGAAAAACTAATTAATTTGAAACTGGAATGTCAACTGAAGGTGAACTCAAAACAGAATCAGTGGCAGCTAGATGATGGTTCAAATTATGGCAAATATGCAGTCAATACAAATGTTCTAGTGCAGTTTTTGAATATTACAAAGTCTTATTTATAAAATTCCTTTATTTCTAATCAACATTCACTAGCAAGAGATATCAAGTTACTGTCATTACACATCACATCCTACTATCAAGAGAGAATACAAAAAGGCAAAGCTACCCTCGCCACCATGTGTGCATGGCTCGTGTTACAGGACAGAGGCAATTACGTAGAGCCATTCCAAATCTTGCCATGACTCTTCTTAACGGCTCAGTATACAACCCCGTGGTAGTAAATTTGAGATTCTGAGATAACTGCCTGCTTTTCTGATGTAGACATGCTGCCACAAGAATTTTACGAATAAGTGGTGTAATACTAGTTAGAGAAAATTAACCATTATGATCAGATTTGGTTTGTTGCTTGGCCTCCCCACCCTTCTCCGCCATGCAAAGAGGTAGGCTTAGCTACGACCACACTGTCAACATGACAGCGACTACAAGGGCACATGGCCAACAACCCCGCAGGGCTCCTCCACATGGTTCCTCAATGTCATTTACTTGCACATGGTGCAGTGACGAAGCACAGTGCGATGCATTGTTGAGGGGAAAAAAATACATTAGGACCTTCGCAATATGCGAATTTTAGGGTTATACAGATCTTTCTGCGACCTCGGGCAAGGCCCCATTTCCCTCAATGTGCTATAGTACGACCGTGCCAGCAGATTTTACCCCACCCCACAGATACGAACAAGTGCTGCCTGAGAAGCGACGGAAGATATGGCAGTCATGTTAGGCACGCTATATTGAAAGTACCACTATGATTGCTGATGTCTAAAAACTGCTGGTGATCATCCAGAGCAATCTACGATGCTGCTGTAGCCCCCGAGAAATGGTGAACGAACACCTGTTTTCTTTGGACACATACTGAGCATACTAATTTGGCATATACTGATTTTTCATATTTGTTGGCGACATGAATTTTGGTCGATATGAATATTTTTTTGTGACCCTGCAAGCTAAATGATACAAATTCCAATGGATACTCCAGTACGTGACACGCACTGCAACTGCGAGGCCAGAATCGTATCCCCGCATGTTCAGGGCACAGTTTCATAGTGGGGAGCACCAATTGAAGAAGTCAGTGCTACGTGACGTTGCCCGTAGTAAACTCCACGCCACTTCGTGGGTGAAAAGGACTGATTAAGCACAGGAGAAGGGTGTGGGAATCGTTTTTTGAAACAGAGTATCTGCGTGGCGTGCAGCACGACTATAATAGCAAATTGTGACCATCACGGTTATCTGTACAAATCAGTCGCCTCATTCGGGAGGTGCGAAAAACGAAAGCCAGGGTCTGTTTATTGGCCCTTTAAAGGAGTCATGTCAGACTATCACATCACATAATGCCCAATCACGGGCGAACAAGTACATACACTTTGCTGGCGATGATGCCATTCTGGCTGGCAGGGCTCGATGGTGCCGCTGACGCTGCTTTCTTGTCCAACACCTCCAGGGACAAGGCCCGCCATGAAAGGTTTCCCTGGTCGCTTTCAATGGCATGAACTGCCACTTGCGACCCAACCTGCAATCTCGGGGCTTCAGTTGGCCACTGGTCCGTTGAGAATGCAATCTGACAAAAGTGAAAAAAGGTGAAACAAGGAGGGAGTTTTACACTGAAATAACAACAGCAACAAGGAACGCACGTATGAAAACGTGAACACTCTACATACATTTGGGAAGCGCAGTTTCGTACACGCTACACTTTTGAAGCTGTATGCAAACCTTCACTGCGTGAACCCTTAAGTCGGTCTTCAGACATACACCAGACAGGTGCTGCCACTAATTCCCATTCTACATAAACAATACTGTACATTTAATAATCAGTACACGTGCATTTCTGGTATGTTATTGCAGTCAAACCTCTTTATAAGAGACACTGATGTAAGACACAGATGGGTTTAAGAGACACCAGTGTGCCTGCACTAATATAATGAAAATGCATATGTGGTGTCCTCCTTATAAGAAATGCCTCACACAAAAGACAACAATTGCTCCTCAGTAGTTGTCTTACAAAGGGTTTCAACTGTACTTTATTTAGCCTTTGATGCAACCATGCAGAAGGACACTAAAGCGAAACACTATATTGGGTTTGAATTGAAACATTCCTCCAAAAATTTATATTAACATATCTTCACAGTAAGACTGACTGTTACAGAGAAAAAAAATGCTTTTGTTCTTTTTTAAAACACTGCACCAGAAATACAGTACTAGTATGGTTTGGTGACTTCTCAAGTTCCAAAGCATAATATTGTTAACTTGGGCTGCTGCAGCACGGTAGAAGTTTTTGTATCTTGCCAAACTTCATTTTGGGCATTGTTAGAATGCAATCTGTGTTCACGAAATAACTTCCTTGGCCCAAGCAGATGCTGTTGATATTAGCACTATCACACTAAGCCATTATGGAAACATCAAGGTTTCATATTTGCACGAGTCTAGATTTATCTTGTCTTATCTCCAGGCAAGTTGCTGTTCTTTCGGCATTTTAGGACAGCAAGCAATACTTTTTGGGCATGGTCACAAAACACTCCTGATCGGTAGTAGAGGCTCCCAAGAACATGCGAGCGAAATATTATAATGGGGCAGGCAGCCTGGAAGTCACAATAAATTATCAAGGTCTGCTACAAATTACTTTTTTTTCTCACGACAAATGACTGATGCTCAAAAATTACTTGTAGAAGGTCATCTAGCAGCCATTGGCCGATTTGAATATGGCGTGCTCGGTCGTTACAGGCGGCGACGTGTCCACACGTCCGCCTGCGATCACACTGGAAAAACCGCATATTCGAAGGAAAAAAAGATTGTTCAAGGTCACGACGGTCACATAGACGGTCACATAGAAGAGATTTTACAACAAGCAGTAAATACGGTAGAGCGATACGTGGAGAACAATGGCCTAAAATGCTCTCCTTAAAAAATCGGAGTTATTACTCTACAGACCTACAAGCAGAGGTCGCAAGCGCATTCACCAACGACACAACATCACAATCTTAGCAGGAGGTTACCCAATACCTCAGGTACAACACATAAGAGTTCTGGGACTCCGAATATCCGAGAACGGACATAACGGGGAAGCAATAAAGTTCCTGGATAACAACACCCAACAAACCATTCGAATGATTCGAAGAATCGCCAACAAAAACTACGGCGTGAAAGAACACAACTTAGTGCAGCTCATCCAAGCCTTCGTCGTCAGCCGCATAGTGTATGTGACCCCATACCTCAAGTTGCAAGTGGCGGAAAAACAAAAGATAGAATGCATAATTAAAAAAGCATATAAGCAAGCCCTCGGATTACCGATCACCACGTCTAACGAAAAGTTCGAAGCGTTAGGAATGCATAACACGCTAGACGAACTTATTGAGGCTCATATGATAGCGCAATATGAACGACTCGCGCAAAGCAACACGGGAAGACACATCCTGCACAAACTTGCAATAACGTACGCTGGCCAAAGCGGCAATAAATACGATATCCCAAAAGAAACCAGAGAGCGCATCATAATACCTCCGTTACCCAGAAACATGCACCCCGAACATCACCGGGAGCGGAGGAATGCAAGAGCGAGAGCACTGCACAAGAAGTTTCAACATGACGCGGACGTGGTATATGTAGATGCAGCCGAATATACAGACGGTCGACACATGGCAATAGTCGCTTCAAATCAAGCGGGCCACCTGCTTGCTAGCGGCACCATTAAAACAGGAAATTCGGAAATCGCTGAAGAAACGGCCATAGCGCTGACGCTTGCGTCCACAAGGGCCAGCGTCGTAATCAGTGATTCTAAAACCGCGATTCATAACTTCGCTAACGGAAGGGTCTCGAAAGAGGCGTTAAGAATCTTAAATAACTTTCGCGGAGAGCGCGACGTTTATGTTATATGGACGCCCGCCCATTCCTCCCTCCCGGGCAATGAAACCGCACACACCCTAGCTCGAGAGTTAGCGAGCCGAGCAGGGGCAGGAATGACGCGGAGCCCGCGTGCGGAGAGAGACCGCATGTCCAGTTACAACGAAATTACCAAGCACTACAGATTAGGGAGGCAGCATTACCCGCCACCACACTCTTCATTAAATAAGCAGCAGGCGACAGCGTGGCGCCTATTACAAACAAACACGTTCCCAAACCCAATCGCTTATAATCATTGTTACCCGTACCTCTACTCAGACAGATGTAAACACTGCAATCAGCGGGCGGACCTCAAACACATTATCTGGGCTTGCCCCAACATCGTGAAGGGGCCAAACACATACATGAATACGGAGCAGTGGGAGACCGCGCTGCTAAGCTCAAGCATCGAGGACCAACTACAGGTCATCAGGCAAGCCGAAGATGCCGCTAGGGCCCAAGGACTCCTAGCTGCCATCTAAGGGAGGGGAGTCAACTCCTCTAACACTTGCCGTTTCAATAAAAGTTGTTTCTCTCTCTCTCTCTCTCTTAAGGTCACGAGCCGCACGTGACATGATTTCTTTGCCCCCGTCATCCCTCTTTGCTTAGCTTCCAGCGCTTTCGACAGGGCGAGAGAACAGACAATGTGATTGCAACGTGCGACAAACTTTTTTACCTCCGCTCGTACTGGATGGATTCTTGAAATTTTCGCGGCGTTGAATTTGTGAGGCAACCAGCTCTTTTAGTGCATCCATTCTATGGTTACTTGAAAAAGTGTTTCAGGGCCTCTTTAAAAATTGTCCAATCAGAATCCATCTTGATGTGGTGGGTGTATAAAATTTGTCCAGTCTGTGCATACACAAACACTGGCATTGTCTTACTACGTTTTCCTTTTCGGGCACGAATTTTCAAACATACACACGTATGGAGAGCAATGACTGAGTGGAACCAGCAACATAGTCAGGGAGCGGTTCGAGACACCCGCCCTCTCGGATTTTAAAAAATATTTTTATGCGTATGCACATATACAGTCATGCAAAAACACACAACATATGTCACCCCTTGAAAAAAAATTTCTGGCTACAATAGTGCGCTGAACATATGCACCTGTTGTTTCAATAGCTGTGAAAGAGCATTAAAAGACAAAGAAGGACAAGCAACTTCTCACCTGTTGTTCAATGATGCCACCTGTAGATGTGACACGCGTCACTTTTCCTACAACGTCCTTCAATCGCAGGGCTTCGACCACTCTAGCACTGCTGGTCTTCTCATCAAAATGCAGGCGTACCCAATCGCCCGAGCGCACCTCGAAATCCGGCTCGTACCCTGCCTGCAGACGAAGAGGTATTGAAGTTTTAATACAAAAGCCACTAACTTTGGCAATTTTTCGGCAACTGAAATAGTTAGGATGTCATTTTAGCATTCTAGTGACCCCCCTAATGGCATTACTGATGTTAAAACAGCAAATTGCACACAAGATATTGGCCATATCAAATGCCTCAACTGTGCCAGGTATGAAGCAGCTTCACTTTCAGGGCATGGCAAGCAGCTTGTAAATATGCCACCTAGGAGCACCAAAGCCGATTTTGTGGTCCAACAGTGCTTCGCACCATTATAAAAAATTGCAGAAATCGTATCCCTCTTTTTACATTCTGGCTGTGACTCACCACTTATGGAATAACTTAAAGTGATAGCTTAACGATAGAAACAGAAATGTTTATGGTCAATGCCAACAAAATAAAGCTTCAAACAAATTTATATGCTTAACTTTCCTTTGAAAATGAAGCACTCTGGGCCATAACCTGAGCACAGAGTCACTTCAAGGTTGCCAAAACTCAAACAAAGGTTACGTTGAGAACAACATCTGCGGCTTACGATAAGAGTATTTCTCCGACAATAGGAGCCGTGTTGTGAGAACCCTACAACATGCCTGCGTCTAGTTCTCCTCCACAAATAAAGCTTAATGTTTTGTCCAATGACATGGTTACTATTAAAATTATGAATAAATTTTAGTTTGTTTTCTTCAACCACAAATACTAAGTGATTGCAAACAGCTTTGGTTATCAGGGAGAGAACTTTATATGGTCTTGGCAGTCAAAATACCCAAGGTCTGACAGCATGAAAAATCATTTTTTAGATTGTAAAACAGGTAGCGCAATGCAGAATGAAGTACAGGAGGGGGAATTAATTTAGTAAGGGTATAAGTGATTTGAAGCAATAATAAGTGCATAAGGACGATCGAAGGAAATGCAGTGAACCAAGTGGAATCAAAGGTGAATGAAGATGAGCTGAAGGTGAGTGTCATTTGACGGGTGAGAACAACTTATGCAAAAGCTACTGTGAGGTAGCTGCATGGACATTTTAAATCCCTAAACCTACACAACATAGCAAAACACTAACCATAGCCACTGTTTAGCTGACACCAGCAATTATTTAGCCAACACCACTGGCCACTGCCAGCCAGTGCTCTTTGTATATGAGTGAACGCAGTAGGGCAGGACACCGATTGAATGGCGAGCGGCCTCGTTTCTTCCAGTGCCGACTGTTATCCTGCCACGCTGTTCGAAGACCCACACACACACGCATGCACCGACGCATACTTTTGTCGGAAACCTAAACGAGGAAAGCTCACGCATTTTGAACACACCGAAAGCTGGACAGGAGTGGCAGAGTCCAGGAGGTGGAGGGAGCGGTTTTCCAGCTTCGTGACCTTGGCCACAATGCTTGAAGGCGACGCCTCGGGCAGCACTGACACCTGTACAGCTTGTCGGCCAGAGGCATCAAGGCGGAAGAGCACCCTGGTGGACACAATCACATGCTCGCCTGATACAAGGCTCAGCCTGAAGAAGTGCTCCTCGTTGATGATACCGTACTGCCGGATGGTGTTCAAGTGTGTGACCTGCCCATACTTAGGCTCTTGGTTCCTGCAAGAGCAAAGGCAGAGAAAAACATGACATGGGCTTCAAACCTACAGGCGAGACACTACACTGCACACTGCTTTTATAGCGAAAACTGTTATGCCATCAAAACATGGGTCACGTGCGGCGCTGTAGTTGTCCACCGCCAGTAGACGTAACCAGTATCAAAAAAAAAAAATGCTCATTAAATAAAAAACATTGAGAACACAGTGGGGCTCGAACCCAGGTTCGCTGTGTGCCAGCCCTGGTATTCTACCACTGAGCCAAACCGGTGCTTGGGACTTGTTCGCAAAGTTGCTTAGGCAGGCTTGATGTCGAGAAAGGAATAGCGTTAATATGAGTTATAAAAGTGTTTTATAAAAGCAACAAAACAACCAGGCATCACACATCGTAAATAGCATAACGAGTGGGTCGTCCAATACTCCAACTCATTACAAAAGCTTGTTCTTGATAACTTATTAACTGTGGCGCATACTCACTTCAGAATTCCTCATCGTCAGCCACCGCATGAACAATTGGCACAATGTGTTTAGCGGATACCATGCTTCTCAGAAGAATGACAAAGAATAACAAAGAATGCCGGCCTAGTACTCAGAAATTATGATTATTAATGCCATAGTGGGTACCAACAAGTGTGCTTGCAGCAGTTACCCAATCAGTACTACTTTCCCTGTGACTGTGCTGCACCTTACGCGTAGGCCTCGCATTTTTTTTTTTTTTTGCAGTCATCATTTTCATAATATGAAAAGAGCGACGGGACATATAAAATACTTTCTGTAGGGCTTCATCACGCTTTACATTATCCCTCTTAGCAAGTATACAGGTGTAAATCTAACCACATTGGCGTTCTTAGCATTTTGTCCTTATCGAAGTGTGACCGCTGTGGCTAGGAATTGAACTCATGATCGTCAATGTGACACCCTTCATGCTGAGGCACCACAGAGGGTGACAACATGACAAAGTTATTTCAAACGCTGGTCATTGTAAAGCCACGATGCAAGTGAAATAAGCTACTGCCTTGCATCAATGAGGAATACCTAAACAGTGTTCTAAATTAAAGAATGCATTCTTATTCCGGTTATATCCAAATATGGTAGCAATGGTGGTCACATGAACACAGCAAAACTGTGTCAGGACCTTGCAACACAAAGATGTGTTATTGCAAAGGGTGTCCCTGTGACTGTGCCCATATAAGACTTTCCTATTTACAAGCCTTTAAAGGGCCCCTCGCCAGGCCCCATACCAAATTTTAGTTAGACAGTGGAAGTTGTTGGTGGTCCGATGAGGAACATTTTGCCACAAAAATGTTTTGAATCGGTTCATCACGAGAGGAGAAAATGGGTTTTTTGAAGCGGCACAAAACGAGGATGAGAGGAGGCGAGCTCGAAACCCTTGCCACTCCTCTGCGTAGCCTTCGCAAGCCAAATCTCTTCCCCAACTTCTCAGGCATCCGACCAAGAGGTCAAGTGTGCGTAACGTGTGCGTGACGTGCCCAAACAAGTCCAACCCCTGTGCACGCGAGCGGCGTTGCTTTGTTGACCAGCGTTATTTTGTGGCCTTTTGCCTATTTCTGCGGGATGGTTTGGAAACGCTGGCTTAGACGTGGTAGAATAGATGAGCACAATGACTGCCCTAACGCGTAGGAACGTTCCACGGCGGTTGTCTGCGCATGTGAAACGCCGACACATTAGCCCCTCATCTCGTTGCAATTCTTGGGAGAAAAATGGAAAAAAGACACTCACATTCCCTTATTGTGTTTCATTATTTATCTAGAGCTTTATTCATCTCTTTAAGTAACAAGTTACATAAACCACGCATGCCGTGTTAAATAATTTTCGCCATGTCACGTGCCACTGTTTGCAACATCAGAGCAGAGTTGTCTACGTAGAGGACTAACGTCAATGCATTGCCGTGTACGTAGGGCCATTCATACGCGTACGTCATGCCCTCATTCTCTGGGCACGCGCCAGCAGAAGGGAGGGGAGCAGCGTTCATCTTAAAATTTGACCCATTTCTGCGGCGGGTAGCGTTGCAAATTATGGCATTATGATCATGAACGCATAGCGCTATGCGTTCATGATCATAATGCATAGCGCTTGTCAGCTCAAAATTGTCAAACCTGGTGAGTGGCCCTATAACAAGTACTAGCGATATATATGAGCTACACGACAGCCCTGTCAGCCCATGCTAGAACATGTCAAACGAGTTAACTAGGTTTACTTTAAAGGAACACTAAAGGCAACTATTATGTTGATGTTGATTGTTGAAATTGCGGTCTAGAAACATTGTAGTGTTACTTTTGCGCCAAGGAAGGACCTGTTTTGAATAAAATCACCTTTTAGCGGTCCGCATCGGGTTAGCGCACTTCAAATTACCCGCCTCAAGAAGCGAACCGACCGGACCGACTCACGTCACTGTTGCCGTGCATAACGTTGTTCGGCTTTACTGCGCTAGTAGCAGCAGACCGAAAGCAGCGGGAGCCACAGCAGCAACAACGGCCATTGATCTATTTCCCGCCATCGGCTCCAAGTTGCAGACGTTTTTTTGGTTCAACTACTCCCCGCTAGATGGCACCACCTGTCCAATGTAACTACGCGAAAATGAAATTTTCGAATCACTCGCGCCATTCCCCATAGTAACGTTCGGCGGTTATTTTTTTTCATGAATCAAACAGAAACGAACAAGCAGCATTTTATTGCGTATCTTAATGCACGGAAGGTTCTTGATTTAGTGCAGTGAGATCGATTAATAGTAATTACTAGCCGCACTGAAGCGTCGCATCGCGATTGCGCACAATGACGCTGAGGGAAAAACGGAAAAGACTCAACGCCCAAAGAAAAGATTGAGCTTCCGGCACGGTACTTGCAGATTGATACGCGAAAATTTAAGGTAACGCTCGTACTTATTGTTTCTAGCGTTCGCAGTTCGCGTCATATCAACGCATTTCGGCTCGCGCGCTTATCACCAACCTTCTCATTATGAGGCAGATTTTCCGCGACACGATTATCACGAGCTTTATCACTCGGGGCACTCGTTATGCCTTAAAAAAAAAAAAAAGTCATTCTGAGGGAACAGGCCTAGCCCATCGTCAAGATAAGGCCGCCACATCATCGTACATTCAACACGTATGTTATATAACAGTGGACGCAACTTGGTTACGCATACAGCTGCTCGGAAGGAAGGCAATGATGTGCGCGCGCAGACAACACCAAGGCCAGCTGCGAATTCAGCCCATGCAGCCAAGCACCAGCACAACCGAAGATGAGTGAAAGCAATAATTTCAAAGCACGAACGCGGCGCGTCTCTATTAGCATTCTAGTGTACAATTGATTACGGAAATACTAAAGCGCTATACTTGCGCGAAATCTAAGGTTCACGTCCCGTTCAAAGGGCGGCGGATTGCGCAAACGGATCGGCTGCGGTTCGGTATGATCAACATGCTGCAGTTAATTATAAAACATGTTCTTTGGCCCCTGGCCAAGCAACTGCTAAACAACATTTATCATTACAATCCATCTTTAAAAGAGAGCCTTCTCTCTTCCCCCTCTTACATTTCACCTCGTTTCGATCATTGCTTTAAAGTAGGTGTGCCATTTTGCCGAACAAACCACTACAGTGATTCCTTCATTCCCAGAACAAGCAAAGACTGGAACTGCATTTCCGCTGCCACCGCATCTCTCATCGACCCTGCAAACTTCAAACTCTCCATTTTGCAGCAATTGTAACATTTCGCTTACTTTTTGTTGTATAACCCCACTCCTTTCTGTAAAGCCTTCGGGCATGGAAAGTATTCAAAATAAAATAAAATAAAGACGTCCCTGATAACAAAGGCCAGCGCAGTACAGGACGATCGACGCGGCATACGCGAACTGCACCTGAACGCTTCCTCGACGCTAGCTTTAAGCTCGCGGAACGCTCAGTTTAACGTAAAAAATGATCCATAGTAGAAGTGCCGAACCGGACGCAGGCGGTGCAGCGGCAACGGTACCTTTTCCGAAGGCTTTTCGATTTCTTGCGCCACCACGGCTTCTGCCTTTCCGAAGCCGTAACGGCTGAAGACCCCTTGTGCGGCGCAGTGGCGTCCCCCTTTTGTACCACAGGCAGCGCACCACTGGCGGCTGATTGACGACGTTTCTTGGAACGTTTGCCCATGTCCACGAGCAGTGCACTGACCGCCAGCAAGGCTCGATAAGCACGTGAGTTCGAGACGCGCTTGCAGACGTCCCGCTGTTCTCACAGAGTTACATAGTAAACGTTAACTTACGCTACTCTAGGCTGTTCTACTGGTTCTGACGGCTCGCGCGTTCGTGCACATGATCACGGCCGCACTGGAACGCTTCTTCTTCTCGTCTCATGGTTCCATACCCAATGCCATAGAGTTTCCTATGCCCAATGCAACGCTGCTTTTGTTTTGTTTCCCTGGGAGGTTGGCTCATACCCACTCAGGGGGATTGGCCAAGAAAGTGTAGTGCAGTTTTTCTGTGATCATTTTAACTATGTGTAATGAATTGGTATTATAATAAGACAACATAAAAAGAGCAAACGAAAAAGAAAATCAAGTTGAGCAATTTTGAGATTTGAGGTGTTATGATTACCACTCAGCTGCGTTTATTTCACTCTGCCCTGGGGAGTAATAAATAATTTTTTTTGATTGAAGATCACAAAGGTATACGCTTGGTTGCCTGAATATAATCGCAAACGGCATTGAAAGCATCCCTGTGGCAATGTCCCAAAGCTGAGGCGCCAAAGCTTAGCGCCGTTTCCGCCGTCAATCTAAGGTCTATTTTCCGAAATGGCATAACTAGTAACCTTTTTCGAAGTATCTCGTAGCGGCGACAATACAAAAAATAATGATCTAGTGATTCCATTTCTCCGCAGAATGCGCAGAGGGGTGATGTTGTCTGACGAGCTCTGTGTAGATACAGGTTTAGGGGGGGGACACGACATCGAAATTTAGTAATTAAGACTTCGAGCTTTCTGGACTGACTCCAGTAGGGTTGCCATGGAAACATGAGGTGGTTATAGTCTGTCCATGTAGTTACTTTACAAACAAGCAAGTGCTTTTTTTTCTTTTTTTTTTCTTCTTGTGGCGTTCCAGCGCTTGACGGCCGTGATGGAACGCCACTAAAAGGTTCTGTTGCAGGACATCTAGGCGCAACTCAGGGAGATAGGCCATGTATCAGACAGTGCATTGCCTAGGATACTAATTCACTTACTGAGAAAGAGGGTTGAAATTGAATTGTTTGGCCATTACAGATTAATCATTTAAACTCGCATGTTGAAAAAAAGCGTTTAGAGAAACAATAACAACTGTAACTAAGACAACAGGATAGACATTGGGCCATCCTATCAAGGGAGAATGATACCCATTCCCACACCTGCCTTCTCATCACAAACGGAAGCATCAGTCGCTATCACGATCTATGGTTCTAGATTGGCCAAATGATCTCTCAAATTGCATTTAGATATTTATACGGGAAATTATTAGCGTTTTTAGGATATATAACATCAAAATTCAACCCTAATTGTGTCTACAGTGCTTAGTACAATCGCACAAGCTCTGTGATCGGGCCGGTCGCGGTGTTCATTTGCACGTATGTGCGCTCAATCTTGTGCGAATCATATCAGCGCTTGCTGGCCACGTGGCTCACATGATTAGCATCGTTTCTCCATGCGTTAACACGCCAAAGCGCACTACGTGACTCGCCGTAAGAGAATCGCACCACACGAGCGATTTCAGCGTTTCTAGGCAATCAATTATATAGCTCTATCGTCCTGTCTTCTCGCCGACCAGCAATGGGCCGTCCAGCAGGCCCACGAAGCGGCCGCCAGGTACTCCCTGTCGGTCCCTACGTGGGAGACGCCCACTACGCTCTAAGCACGTCCTGCAGGACTGAAAACATGTTTTTTTTCATTCCATTCCATTCCTGTAGGGTCGCAAGCACATGTACTACTGAGTTCGTTCGAGTTAAACGTGCCTTCTACTCCTACGCGTCAATGTCGCCACACGTGGTTAAGTGAAATATTACCTAAGTGAATGAAAAAAGAAGAAAAAGATAATGAGTAAAATCCATAAAGGTTACTGCAGCACGTGAGTGAAAATCAGACAAGCGTTTCGCGCGAAGGCGATGGAATGTCAGCAGGGCACAGTAGATATGTTCATGTAGTTCAAAAGAAGGCCATATGCTTGAATCGTAGACTTACTCTGTACAGTCAGCGGTATCTTCATCAGATGAAACATCATCGTCTTCTAGCTCGCACTTCGGTTCTTCGTGAGGGATGAAAAAGTTGTCAAACGCCGCAGAGATCACCTTGCCCAATAGTGTAAACATGATACTAGATCGCTCGTTTGTGCAACTCACTCTAGTCGCTACTCGTGCATGTATGTCCAAGTACCGTCACGTCAACTTGCTACGGAATCAACTTGCACTGCATTACACGAGTTGACAACGCATCGTGTTAACAAAGCTTCACAAGCCAAGCACATGCTTCGCAAACATGCGCCTAACACGCGCGGTTTCCCACACGTCGACTAGAGGATTGACCAGAGTCGATTTTGGTTGACTAGGCGCAGTTCCGGTTTCGATTTTGAGCTCCTTTATTGATGAAAATTAAGCTGAGATTGGACGAGTTGGTACGACACTTTTACCATAAAAACAGCTAAAAAAGTCTTCCCTCAATATTTAAAATTACATACTTAACGTGGCTGGAGAGTCTTTTTGTTAAGGACACACGCATTGCACACACGCGGGCGACCGTCCGTGTCGTTATTTCATTGGTCTTCTTTTGGCGTCGATTTTTGGCAGTTTTTTGTGCGAAAGATGGAAATGGTCCAAAAACACAAAGCCGTGCTTTCTTTTTTCCCAATGCTCACACCGATACTTAGTGCACTTACTATAGACCATAACGTGAGGGGCGTTCAAGAATAGACGAATAGAAATTTGGTTAAAATCGCGAAGCAAAAAACTCGCATTGCATTTGAGTAAATACTGCGGTGTTCAGAATAAAAGCCTTACCGAGTTTAATGACATTTGCATGATTACGCCTCCATTCGGCTTTCACGTAATATTTTGAGATATTCACAATCTGCAGGATAACTGCAATATCGACACGCGCACGAACCATAAATCTTTGCATTGGTATTTATTTTATTCCATGAAACTCAGTCGCAACCAGAGTTTCAACCTTCTTAGCTGAGAAACCCTATGGAAACAAATATCGCCACGTGCGCGAATCAAGGGCGTTTTTGCATTGGTCTTTGGGAGAATTTCTTATTGTTAACCATGTTAACGCTGTCACTGCCAGAGCAAGGGAATGACGGGTGACCGGCAGCAACGCGATTTTATTCTGAAGAATTGACCCCCAGAGTGTTGTAAAAGTCTTTTACGTGACATATGTGTCACGTAAAAGACTTGTACAACACTAAACGCGATTATTGTGCGTGACATGTCCCGTAAAATACTTGTACAACAGTAAACAACCTCTTTGGCGCGTCCGTTCAAAACAATTTTGTAAGTGGACATATGGGTGACGTACGAGTAGGCGTTAGGTGCAATATTAAAAAATAGTCAACAAAGGTTTTTTTTTTTTTCTCTTGCTTATTATCCATTCGCAGCCAGGTCCCGGGATCGAATCCTGGCCGCGGCAGCAGCATTTTCTATGGAGGCGAAAAAGCTTTCTATTACGGCATCTTTCATGTCCACATCGTGCTTTAGTTACGTTAAACCCCGTCAATCAAATTAATCATCATTCGCGGCAAGTTGGGCTGGCTGGAGGTTACCAATAGAATGCATTTTCGGTCATTTCGTAAATAATTACAATGCACATAAAATAAAGCAATGCGATTTCCTTCTCATTACTTAAACTAACTTTTTTCGTCTTGCTGCTGCCTGTTAAATTGTGCTGCGATCAAGTTGATAATATTTGCTGCCATTTTATGCATCGAAACCATGATACAATTAAGAAGCATGTCATAGTGGGTTATTTTGAACACTTGAAGTATTTTATTGTGCCCCTAACCTTACATGATAAGCCTTTGGCTAAGAAATCGAGTATCCTAAATATACAAAAGAGGAAACTCTGGTGCTAATGTCTACGGGAGCTGCAAAGCATAGTGCTCGAGTGAGCATGGGAATTATGGGTATGACACAGATTTGCAGACTTCGTACTTCACATTTGGTTGGGCTTCGCGTGGCTTGAAGCTGTTTTGTCACTAAACAATTGGCAAATGTTCGGCAGTTACGCTTCACCACCTTGATCTTTTAGGCTTACGACTGAAGTGAAAAGCTGTTTGTTCTTTCCTTTGAAACAAAACCACAACGTAGCAATAAACAAAGCCACAAGTATGTTCGCTATCCGCAAGCACGAAGACTAGGCAAATCTATGTCACACCCATAATTCCCAGGTCGCTGAAAGATTGCAGTGCCAGTGTCCTCTCTAGTTAATTTTTGGGGACTCTATGGGCTAAGAGTGGGTTGCTTACTTTCAAGTTCATAGGTTGCATTGCATTTACTTTTGATATTACTGATTTCTATGTTCGCATTGCCCCTATGCACTACTGTATGTATACCCTTCCACAGTGGGGCCTGTAAGGTAGCTTAAAACAACGATCCTCCAAAGTTGGTCCACAATGCAGCACCTAACTGTTCGTACATGTGAGCACACTTGCTGATGATAGAGAGAGATGGTGGCTTTCGTGAATTTCAGACAAGCTCCAACAAGGCAGCAACCTGCAACGCTTAGGATTTATGTGCCATTCGTTCATATATAACACACAGCGATATTACTGTTATGTGAATGCAGGTGGCTCAACGCATATTCACACAGTGTCCGAGCGTGGTAAAAATGGCTGAGGCCAGTCTTGAATAATGCTGTCTTTCCCGAAACATACGAATCCTTGTCCTATTACTATCATACATAGTAATGTAGTAATGTGTATTTCACTTAATGTGCACACAAAGCTTCGCTCGGGAGCTTTATTACTCCCAAAGCTGTCACTCACCTTTATATAATATACGATGAATCTTAGACAGGATTTTCTCTCTTTTTTTATAAGCGTTGTTCACATTCCTTCATCTTTATTTTACAATTGCGCACTTTATATAAAACAAGACTTGCAACATTTCTTTTTTTTTTACAACAGATGAGGTGCTATGAAAGTGCGTAAATATTGACATAGTTCTATACAATACATCATGCTCACTTTAGCTTCTGCACAATAAGGAAGAAAGCAACTGTATTCAAATATGAAAACACTAAACAGATCTCTGTAGGTGCTTAACGAGACACTAGACATGGCACGCAACACATGCACCCCCCTTTCACTTCCTTCCTGCTAAGTTATTTTGCACGGTAGTTTAAATATACTAAGCACTGAAGCGGGTGTAATTGGCCGATGGAATTGCTGATATCTGCCTTGAAGAAACTGCAAACTTTCTTTTCGCTTTACATTATGCTAAGAATTCTTGTAATGACTCCCCAACAGTCTAGAGGCCTGCATGAAGCTGGCCTAGAGGTCCTAGACATGTCCCACGTGCAGCAACACCAACTCTGTAGCACAGAAGGCATAGTTATGCAACAGTAATCTTTGTATACACTTGCGAAATACATCTACACAGAGTTTCTAAGGAACTGCGAAGGCGCGCTGGAAGATCCCATCACAATTTGCTAAACCTCCCAGCAGAGGTTGCGCACACGAAGCTTCTCTGAAAGTGCTAGATGCTGCAGGTGATGGTGTGAAAGCTTGTTCTCTGTAGTTGATGTGGTCCATGCACATGCCACTGGTTCCGTCAGCTTCTCATGAGACGTGACCTTGGCCCTGACTGGCACCCTTCGACCCGTGGTGGCTTTGGGACGGAAAAGGATAAGGTCGCGACGGTGGGGTATAGCTAGCCGACGGAGATGGGTAGGATGGCCGCTGGCGCCAGTGCTGCGGCTGGGGCTGCTGGGCGACACTGAGGTGTGGCCGTGGCCGCTCCGGTGGCAAGGCTGCTGCCGATGTCCTGGGCAGGTAGCCCACGGGGTAAGGGAAGCCCTTCATGCCTTCCAGGAGGTCTGGCTTGTAGTAAGGGGGGCTCCCTGCAGTGCCGGGTGGCTCTCCTTGCTCCAAAGTGCGCTTGAAGGCCTCCATAAAACCGTACGAAGGAGTTAGCCGCAGGGACGCACTGGATGTTACCGTTCGGGGAAGCTGTGGTGTCTGGGCCTTGGGTGGGCCGCTTCCTGGTTCCAGCTTCCTGCTGCTTTCCTTACTGCTGCTCTCCAGATGGCGAGAGCTGCTTGTTGGGACACTTGCCTCATTTCCCGAACTTGGGAAGTTGCCAAGGCTAGCGGTAATTATGCGATCAAGCATCTGTGAAGCAAGAAAAGGCTTCGGGGGACTGGTGCGAGGTGGCCGTGCATCTGCTGACGGGGGCCTTCCAGGTGATTGCAGGATGACTGAAGTGGGGACAGAGGTAGCCGTGGGAGCTGGCGATGACACTACTGGCGGTGTTGGTGCAGGTGAGGGCGTGGAGGATGGAGGTGGTGGGGCAGGCGTGACAGAAAGCGGTGTAGAGACAGGCGTGGGTGTAGATGCGGAGGATGTGAGAGCGGCTGATGCCGAGGGTGATGAAGAAATGGTCAATGGCATGGACGGTGTACCAGGACTCTCTCTGCCAGTGTCAATGTGGCTAGACATCTTGCGGAGCACTGCTCCAGGGAGCTGCGATGCCTTGCGGGGGTTTAACCTGGGATACAAAAAGCAAGAAAAAAGGAGAGTACGAATTACATGTGTGCACTGTGACGTGCACTTTAGAAGTGCTGCGCCATCACTGCCATGTATGAATTAGTCATGGGCGCTTTACACAATGCATCTATCTTGCTAGAGGTCTCCGATGCAAGTTTTTTTGTGATCACTTTAAAAAATTGCATCAGTCTCCTCCTGTACCTTGCAACATTTTATTATAGAAAATACAAGAATGAAACAAAAAAAAAATCGTTCCACATGCAGATCAACCCAATATATTTGTCAACTCCAAACTGTGCAGCATAGACTTGTTGCACCCACCATGCTCAGCCAGGTTTGATTATGCTTTGATCATGGATTATGCATGCTGGCCTACAAGAGGTAAAGGTAACCCATTCAGATGCTCACCAGCTCCCTCAAAAACTGCCACATAAAAGATCAGCCTAACACAAGGTGCAGAAGGATGCCCTTGAACAGCACCATTCTTTTTTAACACAATATAAGACAACCTAGCGCAAAACATTCTTCAGTGAAAACAAATGTGGTAAAGCTACCAATATTTCAGCAACAGACTGCAAAACTCCATCTGCACAAGATAGTAATTTGAAAGTGGTGCAGAAAGCATTCTTGCACCGAGTACCTTGCAGGAACCTATTTTTATTTGCACTGCTATTCTAGCTACTCCTCGATATTTGCGTACCAAACACTAACGAGGAACTTTTTTTCGAAACGGGCCAAATCCAAAACCAAAACTAGCTAAACAAGGCTG